AACTTGGAGCTCTTACCCCTGAATTACTCCTCATAGCATCTGAAACCTATTTTAGACCACACTTAGAGGTGTTCAACTCTACAGCTCTGCTGCAACTAAGGAGAGACGAGGCTGCTCTACAGGGGGTGTAAAGAAGGGTAACAAGGTCGGTTGTCGGGCCAAAACGCAGAACGTGTGCCGTGCATTACTTGACTCTTTCACGTTCAGCCATCGAAGGAAAAGCGGTGACCTGATAACGTCCACAAGATCATCCAGAAAATGAGCCACCCTGCCAGGACAACATTATCTGTTCTAAACCCACATCCCGGTGGAAACCTCGCTCTCATACTCCGCCATAGAGCAAAGACGAGAATGAGATCTGGCTTCTTCTCGCACCGAGCGTGTACTTAATGGAACGCTATGCCGAAGGAAGTATTATTCATTATTATTTGTACCTTTGGTTCCTAGTGGAACACTGGCTTTAGTAGTACGTCTCCATTGCACTCTGTTCCCTGTAGTCTTCTTGGCCCGGCTCCATGACTGCCCACAAGCTTTCATTTCTTCCTCACATGATCTCCCCCGTGTCACCCTCAGCTGGGACGCCCAACCCGTCTTTTTCCTTGGGATTCCACTCGACGACCTGGCCTGACCTGACGTTTGATGTCTCCAATCGGCCTTCTGGGCGCGTGCCCAATCCAGTCCATCTCCACTTTCTTCTGCATATTTGTTGGGCAATGGGTCCTTGGTTGGTTCGTTGCCAGTCAGCTAGCCGGGTTCCTTGCTTCCCATTCTTATTATTATGGTCATCTGATTTTCGGTATCTAGCATAGGCAGCTGTTGATGAATGTCTGTAGTTTGTTGGAAGCGCCTTTCGTAACGCCCCAAGTTTCTGAACCATATAGAAGCAATCACCTGACTGACACCACTGTTGTAAATCCGGATCTTGTTCACTCTTTATGTTGAGTACAGAAGATTTCTACACTGGTTTCAGGCCAAAGAAGCAGGACCTGTCTCGCTGCCTTTCAGATCCTGGCTTGACATCCACATCTGTGCCACCTGTAGTTAAAAGGAGGCCACGTGGGTTGTTGGATGAGACCACTTCCTCTAGGTTTCTCCCGCTGATAGTGATTAGCGCACGTTGTTGTTGGTTGGGTATCTTCATCACCTCTGTCCTCTATGCGTTCGCCCAAAGGAAGTCCCGTCTTCGCTGCCTTGTCTCTTCTGTCAACTTGCTAGTTTTCACCCGTAGATCTTCAAGTTTGTGCGACAAGACATCAGACATAAATCGTCGGCGAAATCCAAATCTTCTAGGGACTTTTCATCGGTCCATCCAGCATATGCCCATTTTCCCTTTCCTTACAGCTTGTTGTATGATCCAGTCAACCACAATCAGGTCATTGGTGACGGTCGGCAGCCTTGTCTTCAAAAACGGCACCGAACTTTCCATTGTGAATCACTCAGTGCGTGGCGTCGTCATACAGCTGTTAAATGAGGTTGATAAAAGTTTGTGGTATTCCATAGTGTTGGAGCAGTCGCCAAATTACTTCTCGGTCGATGCTGTCAAAGGCTTTTCAAAATCGATGGAGTTGGGTGAAGATCCAGTTGACTGCTATTCTATACTCTGTTCTATGATGATACGTGGCATTGCGTTGACATTCTATCCACACGTGATTTGTTTTTTCTGAAGCCAGCCTGCTCCGGTCGTAATTTTTAATCCAGGGCATCGTTTAGTCTCTGCAGGATGATGCGGCATAATATTTCGCTTGAGGTGTACCGGAGCATGGTTCCGAGCCAGTTCTTGCAAATACTTTGGTCTCCCTTCTTTTCTAGTTTGACAAGGCAGCCCTTCTTCCAATCTGCAGGTATCTCCCCTTCCTTCTTTCATTCCTTCTGAACCTTCTGCAATGGCGGTGTGAGCATGTCCGCTGTCGTCTCTGCGTGTGTTTTCGGTGCTTCTGGAGGAATTCCATCTGGTCCTGCTGCTTTCCCGGATTTCAGCAACTTTATGACTTTCAGGACTTTACTTCTGCCTTTGTCTGAGGGTTTGTGTTCACTGTTAGTTCGATGGCTGCTGGTGGTATTTCTAGACTAGTTGCAGGCGGTTTTGGCGGATTCAAGGGTTTTTTGAAGTGGTCAACCCGCTATTTCCTTTGTTCCCCCTCTCCTCTAACTAGGTTTCCTTCACTGTCATTCTTTCATCCGTGTTGATCTCTTCCATCCCAGATAGTAACCTGGTTATTTGATATGATGTTGTCAGGTCTCTGTCTCTCCCACAGGCAGCCTGTTCTGCCTCACTTGCCAGTGCGTCGTAGAAGTGTACTTTGTCTTCGCGTGCACTCTTCATCAATTCGTTGTCCAGTGTGGTGTTTAATGTGCCTTACTCAGTCCCTCTTCTCATTGTTCATCCCCGCGCTGCACCGTACCGCAATGGGCTGGTTCATCTTCGGCGCCCCCGTCTTCCTCTTCTCTATCGGCCACCGCGGAGATCCAATCCTTGTCTTCTTTCTTCTTCCTTGTTAACGTGGTTAAGCAGGTTTCCCTCCAGCAAGCTTTCACCGAGTTCCAGTGTTCTTCCACTCAAGTCCCTCCAGGGGGTCCTGCTCAGCGTCCCCCATTTCGTCCTGATAGCTGACTGACGTGAAGGTGCTCTTTGAAGTTTCAGTTCAGTTTCTGTTCTGGGTGTTGGACTTGAACCGTGGTTTATCACCTGCTTCTTTGAAGACTTTCAACTTGATTATGAAGGGAGGTTCCTCGGGTTAGACAGTGAGTGGTATGAAGCTACATCTACTCCCCTTCTTGGTCTGACTTACGTCTAGTAGGATGCGTCACCACTCTCTTCACACTGAGATGAAGTCGATCTGATTTTCAGTGTCCATCTGGTGAGTGGTTAAATTCATATCGCTTTGTGGACATCTTCGTGTTTGTACACACTGCCTCCAATCATCAAGTCACTAAATGTGCAGAAGTCTGCGAACAGTTATCCATCCTCATTCATTTCACCAAGCGCCTTTCGACCCATGATGGGTTCTCTTCCTGTGTTGTCAACCTCTTAGTTTGGCGTTCATGTCACCCCACCCATTACAATTTTGATGTCGCCAACTGCAGTGGGATCTTGTCTATTACTGATTGCAGTCCTCTGTAGAATTCCTCCTTTTTCTCTTCATCTGCATTATTTGAAGGTGCCTAATGTAGCATTGCATGATTGTGACTTTCCTTCCTTTTGATTCGAATCCATCTTGCTGTCGTGATCCTGCAGGAGAAGACTGGTTTTCACTGCATGAGAGCCTTCGATGATCTTGGAGACATCATGATAGCCACTCCAAAACTCAGTATGCTCATGGTAGTCTTCTAGGTGACAATATCGGAGTAGATTATTGACCCTCCAGTTGACAGTTTGGAGAGTCCACTTCCATTCCATCTGCAGATTCCTCTCAGATTCCTAGCATTTCTATGCTATACCTTCTCATCTCTTCGCCAGTCTGGGTGGCCCCGGTAGGTGCGGACATTCCATGTCCCCGTTCTTACTTTCTCTTTCATCGAGAGAAGACACATAGACCAATCGGCTTCCCGAAGGCTTTCACCAACCGACGTCATTTCGTACCCCCAAATCCAGCGAGAAATGAGTTTATCTTTTATTTTTATGTTTTCTTTTTGCTTTAAAGCCCTGTAATACAAATGAGACTAAGTTCAGGCCGGATCAGGACTAACCGCTCGGTCTACTGACACCAGCAGAAAGGTCGACACCAAGTCTGACTCATTAAACACTCTAGGGAAAATCATGGCTAGTATCAACTTCCTGATGACAGTTGCTTTTCAGGTTTCTGGATATATTTCGAACCGTAAGTTGATAGATTACTTAATCACTGTGATAGTTGGGGCATCCACGGACCGAACGCCTCACGAAAATGGAGGTGGACGTTTTAGACTTTTGCATGAAACCGTTGGTGACGTGGTTACCACCTACGCTGGTAACCCTGAAAGGCGGGGTAGCCACATCCTAGTTCTTCATGCTCAACTCGAATGCCACAAAAGAAACCGCACGTACTGACCTAAGCTTATTGTCATTTGCATGTAACAAATACCAAGCCGTGTAAAAATGAAGTGAATCTCAGACCAACCGGCCAGAATATAACGAGTGACTGTCGCAAAATACCGTGGAAATGGACTAAATGGTCGGAGTTTGCCAACATATAAGCTGGCTCCGAAATTTGTGGGGGAATTATATATGCCGACGCCGACATCTCACTTTACTGAACTAAATCTATTGCGCTAAGGGTTTTATTTACCCCGAGAAAACCAACATTTTCACAATGTTGGGCTCCTGTGGAGTTTAGTGCACATAAAGCATTCCAGAAGGTTCCAAGGAGCTTTCAGTGAACTGTTTTTGACGCCCATCTGATAAGTGATTAAACAAGTTCACAAGGGAACAAATACTCCGCTAAAACCTTCAGTTGTTGACAAATAACCTCGACAGAACTTTACTTTCTGGACAGTGACAGTTCAATAGATATACAAGACAATTGCCTTTGAGCCTTTTGTTTTATCGACACTGGGAAGCCGTATACAAGCAACAACTTGTTGTTCATAAACTAAACACACACAACCTTCAAACTCATGCATGCAAATTACTAGTTTTCATTAATTTAGTTTTTACACTGACGACAGAAGAACCACAAACAAAGCAGAAGAACTAAACCTCTAGACCTGTAAGCACGAGCTCAAAAACTACAAGGTTTCTCTACTCATATCATAGGTATTGGATGTTGAATGTCCATTTGTTTTAATCAACCAACTTGTGTTTCATCTCATCAACGGATTCTTAACTTTTTGCGCTACGTTTCGTATACGACTTTAAGGGGATGTTAAGAAAGGCTCTTGGAAAGTAGTAATATTCAAATGTCGTTCAAAGCAATTGTAGCGCATTTGTGAAAGATAGTAGTTAGAAACTTTATATACGTGATTTCCCCACTATAGCTCATTATTTGGGCGAGCTAAAAAGTTGCTTTTCCAGTCGATCTAAAATGGATGACAAAATTCCTTCTGTGGTGGAAATTATTGGCGCTTTCCGTCTTCATTTAGGAAAAATCGGTTACATTTCACAGAGTGAAGTGACGCTGCCAACAGACGTACGTTTCGTCTTCTAAGAAATTATAATTTCTTATTTTCCTAGCGAAGTGATTCTTCGAAGAACAAAGTGATTGATTTCATCCTCAAAATTTCTGACTTCGTGAGGCTTTGTGATGATGCAAAGCTTTTGGAGACTTCGCTTCTAGGTACACTGCTGCAAGAGGTTGCTTCCCCCTTATTGTCATCAAGTGTAGTCGCTTCATTTTTTGGTTGTATTTACCAATCTACTGATTATTGGGTATTTATCAGTTGATTATATCTAATATTTTAAGCCATACTTTTCAGCTGGTTTTCTGAAGGTCTTTCATGTACTTTCATATACGTCGACTCCAAATGCCTACTTTAATTTCCCAGACAGTGAATTTTCTGTATGTTTTATATCTCCTACTTATTATTTCAGAGTATTGCTCTACCCCCTACAGATAAGTGGCCATGTCAGAGTGGTTGGACACTGCAGTGTTGGATATACAGACATCCTTCATCCAGACGTAACAGTAAAGTGCATTTATATTGGTTTGTTACTCTTTACTCTATAACTTTTCCAAAGTTTCCAAACCGGTGACCGTCTTGGATTTTCTGGTTACTTTGTGGATGAAGTTCTTTTCCTGTCTTTAGCCCGGAGCAAAAAGAAGGTTGATGAGTTTCCAGTAAATTTTTATTTCCATCTGCATGAGGTATAAAAACATTTATTTAAAAGCTTCTCTTGATTTAGTGGTATATGCTTACAATTGTGCACTCTTATGTTCGATGGAGTGGTGGCAATATTTTGTGCTACGTTAATGGAGTTTTGGTATCAAACTTTGATATCACATGGCATTTAAATTCCAATGAGGTGTGTTAACTTTTTTTGGTCTTTCGTTATTCTAGCACGTTACTACATACTCGTCTAAATGAGACTGAAATTCTTTTATCCATGTATCTTGTTGTCCTCCAGACTATTTTTTAGAATCTACTTCCAGGATAGTTTGGCATTTTTAAAATCTGATTTTAGAATAGAACGATACTACCTAGCTACCATAGAATGTACAAAATAAATAGCTTTTACTCATTGCTTTGGAGCAGAAGACATAATGACATGTGTTCGTGTATCTAGCGCAATATTTACCATTAACCAGTCGTATCCATTCGACACGCAGTTTCTAACAACTCAATTTTGCACAAATTGGCTACATTGAGCTTGCTGTTGAAGTGTTATGAAGTTACATAAGCTTGGGATCATGAATTGAAATTGACTCCTCGGTAACGGAAAATAAGGCTGATGCCATGTGGTAGAGTGTCTTTCCTTATGCTTGAAGTTAGTACCAGCCAAAGGCTAGTGATTATCAGGACATAATTGCAACACGATCACCGTCGTAGGTTTACTGGGATGAAATACCGTAGATACTCCGAAGATGGCTTTCTGACTTGCTCAGCTTTCTTGCTTGAGCGTTTAAGTTGTCTGCCGTTATGGAGATGTCTGAAGGTTTTGTCTCATGCAGCGAAATTGGCAGTATTTGGTAAAATTCATGCTTTGCATCAGTGGGTGTGTAGGTGAAGATAACGAATAGGCATCTGCAAACCTCATGATCCTTTCTAGTTCTTTTATAAATATCTATTCAATCAGACAGCATACTGAGGGCTGTTCTTTGGTTACATCTAATGGTCCACAAGAGCTAGTCAGTAAACTTCTGGATACTCGTGAATTGAGTTCTGAACATTTGCTTCACTGACCAGATGATGTCAAGTCAGTAACCACACTCGAGTCCTGTATACTTATCACGGATACGCAGCGTGCCTTCATGGGTCGAGATTCCAGAGTTCTGGTGAGCGATTCCTGCAGTCCGATTTGTCGTAGGGCCGGATGTTGACGAGTCTAATATGGAATCGATAACGAGGTCTTAGGAGACTAAGAATAAGGTTTGAATGGCTTGGATCGTTGGTAATGTTAGCAGAGTGGAGGGCTTACTATTGGTATTAGGAGTGTAAAATAAAGAAGCAGAGGTAAGGAGAATAGATTATATTTGATTGGAACTTGTATGCTACTAGGAGCGTGTGGGCAGTTGACGATTCCAGGATACCCACACCATGGGAATTGTTTCTGCAGATTACCTGAGAGAAAACAATAGATTTACGTGACTGCAGAGCTTATGAGATATCTGCTTGAGTCCTGTTACACAAACTTCTGAGGACTATTTGATTGTTCTGGTTTTGTTATGAAAATCCCATACCGCCATCACCGGAAGATCTCAGGACGGAGGATTGTGCTATTTTTAAGGTCAACCTTTTCTAACCTCCTCTTCTCCTAGGGGAGGCAATATCAGCATGGTACTGCAGTTTATACAATAATGGTAGCTGGTGTTTTGATGTTTGTCATTTCGCGTTGCTATACAGGCCTGAATCGCTTCGCCTCTGTTGGCAGACGGACTCATACGAATGTCTAAGTATTGCCAGACATTCATGACGTTATATTCAACCAAGTGACCAGCAGTAGAATCCCTGACGTGTTTCGTCCTATTTGGGACTCGTCACCTGGACGTACATGCACCCGGGTGAATGTTGTTCCCAACACTACTCAAATCCAGTACCCATCACTTTAAACGTCAAAGCGTTATCTACGAAACGGCTGGGGTATGGTGGCCACAGCACGACGAGTATCAGTTATTTTTTTATACAGAGGTCGAGCGATTCGGTCCTGTATAGCAACGAGAAATGACAAGTATCAAAATAACGACTGTTACCCGTCCCAAAAAAGGTGTCTATCGTGCCTCAGTAGTTTAGTGGATAACGCTTTGGCATTTGGAGTGATAAGTACTGGGCTCGAGTCGCAGTGGGAACAACAGTACTCACTGCGGTGAAACTGCATCCAGCCAACGAGTCTCAGATAGAACGGAACACGTGTCCTACATTTCACTGCTAGTCATCGAGATGAATTTAACGGTAACCGCTTTTTTTCTCACCGTAACAGAACCCTGAGGGAACAAGCGTTCCAAACAGTGTAACTCAAACCCGACCACTTCGTCAAGGTAGCAACCATTTGTCAGGACTGCCAGTTAGAAGGAATGGACTTACTTCTCGCAGAGCCAATGAGAGCGTCATAGTTTTAGATCCTCAGTTAATATTTTTGGTGACCCACTTTATCTCGATGTATAACATTCTTTGTTGAAAAAAAGTAAACTTTTAAGTGTGCTAATTTTGCTGCACTGTTTATTTAGAGCAGACAATTTCTTAAATTTTTTTATTGCCAGCGTTTAGACTTTTCTCTTCCCTTGTATATAATCAGCAACAGCAGCGATTTGCTTACTGGTTCTATTTTTACTGGATAAGCTGGCCAGCATCTATCATCTATGCATTCCTTATGAATATATGTTCGATATAACCTTTGATCAACCTATTTTAGATATTTAAGACGTGTCTTATTGGTCAGTCGAGTGACTCTGCTGATGGAAGTTGCTTCAGTGGACATATCTCCACCATAATGGGATTCATGGATGCCCTAACACCTGAACAAATTGCTTATATTTACGCCTTAGGTCCAAAATACCAGGTATGTCCATGCCAAAATTACATAGTAATTTACTTTTATTCCGAATGTTGTTTCAAAGGAAGTCATTTACTGTGTTATTGAAATAGACTGTGTGTTCGTCTTTCATAGCGTTGCTTCCAAATTTTTTAGCTTTGAACGACTTAGTGGATTCGCATACATGCAAATGATTTTTTCTTGCTTCATTTGCTGTAAACTTACTGATCCGTGTTATCCGTTGATATCACAGTGGGTCATTATATCATTCTGTATAAAAATGGAATTACTCAAAACAACAACTAAATTGAAACTGTAAATTGCATTAATCGAATAACTCTTTGGGACTCATAGTAGTAACCGTTACTTAGGCTTTCTTTCTGTTTTAACTCTTATCTTATATTTATGTCAAATTAGCTTTTATGATGCCAAATATTTTTTCCGCTTTAAAAGACTTGCATCGTCCATTTCTAAGACGTTTTATGTCTATGTGCAAATAACCTCTGAAGAACCTTTAAGTTTGTTTTCCTACGAGATCACTATTTTTCGTCAGTGTCATCTTATTTATTAAATGCTGCGCAATGTAAAATATGTCATTCAAAGACTAGCATGATAGTTAAGTGGAAAACAAACCATCATATTTTAGCTAATTCGTTATTACTTTCTTTGGAAGTGATAAATACTGCTAAAAATCTCGACAGTATAAGCTAGTGCATGCATTCACAGTCTTAACCCAAAGTGTGAGAATGCGGCTACTGGGTATCATGATCTGTTGTTCAAATAAACACGAAAGTTGTAAAACCAAAACCTTACCTAATTGTCCGTTTAGTGTAACTGTCGATAGAAGGGATGAAACTGACGAGTGGACATACAAAATTAAATAGCCCATCTTCATTCTCATATCGGTTATAGTTTATAGGTTATTAAGAATGACGGTGATACGTTTTCTCAGTAAACATTTCACATGTGTTGTAATTCATTAAACATATTTTTTTCAAAACTTTAAGTTTTCCAATATTATTAGGCTCATTGTTCTGTTACAAGGTCCTCCCTGAAACATCACTTTCACGTTGAGGGTTCAGGGTTTTAATAAAATTAGTGTATCTTGAAAAGGCGTGGAACTCAGCAAATGAATACACTAAGATTTTGTTGTCAGTTTGCTGTAAACTGTCAATTTCCTCGTACCATCTGACTTCGTCATTTAAAACAGGTAACTACTATCTTCGCTATTAAACGTGAACAACAGGTGAAGATCGTTAAATTTATTTAGTAAGTCAACCAGCCAAAAGTGTCTTCAAACGTATCATTTTGAGGGATTATAACGTAAAAACTTGAATTCATGTGGGATAGCATTACAATAGGATTATGTGCTCTTGTTGAGTGATTTAAAGTTGTCACTCTAGTACTGTAGTGTCTGCTCACACTTAAGTCGTGAAATATGTTAAGGTTTCTGTAGTGGACTTCTGGCTAGTTTGTATGAAGTACTTCTCTTACAAGTTCGTTAAGGGAGATTGGTAAAAGCCTCATGTTTTATGCAGAAGTATTTATTCTTCTTGAACATTTATAACTTTAGGGGTACGGTAAATTACCTTTATATTTCAAGCAGTTTTCAAATATCAACATTTAGCATTAAACTGGCAGTGTTCATAACTCTGCACTATATTTTGATATTTCCTAAAGAAATTTTGTTTATTTTGGCTTGGTTTCTATGCATGCCATGGTCACTGCAGTCATTTGCTTCGAAATTTTGATGATTAACTTGGAATTATTTGTATAGGTTCAAATATTTTCTATATTGATGTGTCGGTTAGCTAATAAACACCTGGCAGTTTAAAACTATGATTTGTATTTTAGGGTCAGTTTCGTTTTGAAACGGAAAGTTATGATGAATTGACTTTAAATCTAACGAAAACTACGATAGACTCTAATAAACTGCACAATGCACTCATATTTGCCTATAATCCTCTTGCTTGTGATGGCCGTTTATGTCTAAATCAAGCTGTGAATTTTCATCAATCAAATCAAATTTCACTACACGCTATAATGAATGGGGTAAGTGCTGTTTAATAATGCTTTAACATGTATCGGGAATTTCATTCTTATAAAATATTTTAAATTTCACTACATTTTTGCAGAAGTTTTACCGAAGTACGTGCAAAATGATACTTTTTACAGAAACTATTTTGTCAGCTTTTGTAGCAGTTATAAAGGTTACGTCCAGCGAAAAATTAAAAATTTCAATGCTTACGTTTATCTTAGTCAATGGTTGACCGTATACTACTTTTCAAAAACTATCTTTTGTTGTTGCCTACTACTTTTTATAACTCTATTGCAAAAGGGATAAGCTTTGTCTCTAGAAAGAACCTTAGTCAAACTGATCGCTTCACATGTATCTTATAGCCTACCTTCAAACATTGGATGCAGAGTAATGAAAATGCAATCATCTAATTTCGAAAAAAGCTTACTGTGAGCTGCATGTCTCATTCAATTGTTTTACAAATCTTGATTACCACTTGTTTGAAGGTTTCATTATTTACCACAATTATTAGTAAAAGAAATAGAAGTTGAAAATATGGACCATTGAGTTCCGACCCAGTGGCTCAATGGTAACGTGCTGGAAACGAAACCTAAAGGTCATGGGTCCAGTCCCTGGAGGGCGGGGCCATGGGTGTGCACTCCTGAGGAGTCTCATATTAAGAAAAAACAGCTGTTTAGTGTTCCAAGGTTTCCAACGTTTCTCCAGTGGATTTGAGTCCATGGTGAGTAACAACCTGAAATCAGCAAAGAAACAAATATCTGTAAATAATAATTCTTTTACTTGAGAACATAACTCATGTTGTTTTTAAGAGTAGATTAGTGTGTAGAGGTTGCTAATTCATAGTATGGGGCTTAACAACTAACAATTTTTTATGTTCATGAAACTTCAATGTCAATATCAATACCGTCGTAGTGTGAGCTATCACACTATGCTGGGGGTGAAGTCGTACTTCTGCTAGGTGGATGGGATGTGACAGCAGTAGTATGTTTCCCTTGGATGACCGGCAGTGCCATGCTAACTCTGCCTTTCCCATGGGAAGGCGAGTTCAAAAAGGTTGGTCCCAAAAATAACACACATCGCCCCTTGTGGCATATGGATGCTTGCAACAGGGATTCATAGTTGAATTTAAAGGCAGAAAACCAAAATCTCAAAATTGCTAAAAGGCTGTGTGTGACCAGCCTCAAGCAGATGTCCCACGGGCTCTGCGGTCATACACTATTTTTTCTTTCTCAGATACCTCAGGAAGAACTAGCCTTAAGCGGTGTGGGCAGCCGCGAAGTATCTACCACCCGCACGCTCCTAGTGGTATACAAGACCCGCTCAAACATAACCTATCCCTCTCAACTCTGTCTCCCCCTATGACTTTATCTCCTGTTACTGATATTAAGCCTCTTATGTCTTACCCAACCTCTCACTCTGCAATTATTGCCAACGACTAAAGCCATCGAAACCTCATTCCAGAATCTCTAGCCATGCTGTGTATCTGAGATACGTATCTGGGACCCGGACGTGGTCAATAAATTGATCTCACCTGAACATAGTAGTGAATTTTCGAAATTCACATTGAGTATCCGGAGACTCAATGGCTAGCTCTCATGGACTTGCTGGCGTAGGTATACCTTTAAGTTGCATACCAGGAAGTGCGTTTCTCGACTGGATTTCAGTAAACACCCATCCATGTTCTATTTGACCGAATGGATCTGTAAGGACCAGGAAGAACTGTGAAACTAGGGGATGGCTATTCGTAATTCCCGCCTACGCACCCAACGACTGTAGTTCGAATGATGCAAAGGATGAATTCTATGAGAAACTGTCAACCTTGCTACAGAAAGCAAAACGTTCTAATGTAGTCATAATGACAGGTGACTTTAACGCTCAACTAGGGCGGGAGACGAACCAGTCAGAAAGGCATGTTGTAGGTTTTTACGGAATCATGTACCAACGAACCGTCTGTTGCAATTTTGTCCTGATAATCACTTGCCCACAGTTAAGTCACATTGCTGTAAGCCATCGTTGGAAATGATGGGGGGGGGTGGGTGGGGTGGGAGTGAGAGTTAACTAAGCAATTCTCTGACCGTGACCGTAACCGCAATGCTCATCCTGAGGAAACTTGGCGTCATATTTACTTTGCTGAGGAAACAGCGGTAAAGACAATCGATAACCCGCACCCGACGCTTAGCAAACTTCATTAAATGTTCAGAACGTCATCCGAACTGACTGATGAGAGAAGACTTATTCCAACTGGCTCTGGCCACAATGAAGAACGAAAGCGACTTAAATGTAAGTTAACCAAGAGTCTTCACGTCGATCGCGAGCAGTGGTGGATGGCGAAGGCGATCGAGGGAAATAGAGAAGACAACAACGTTAGATAACACTTGGCAACTATTTTAGGCTGATTAGGTATGGTGAGTGAAACCTTCACCGGGAAGGATGGAACGCGAATAACCTCCCAGGACAGGTGGTTAGAACGTTAGGCAGAACACTTAAAAACACAGTTCAACTGACCCTCGGAAACGCTTCAGTTGCCCAACATCCAGCCTGAACCGGAATGGGACGTAGATGTCGGTCCTCCAACTCTCCTTGAAGTTGAGAAAGCTGTATCGAACCTGAAACACTGCAAAGCAGCAGGACCCGACACTTCACCACTAGAAGTTATCAAGGCTGGAGGTGGAAAATTTCTGATTAAAGTGACCGAGGCATTAGGTAGTGTATGGGAATCACAGGTAGTCCGTTAAACTGATCTACTTTACTGACCATTCCGCTCCATAAGAAGCGAGATAAGTCTTCCTGTGACAACTATGGGGGATTAGTTTGACTAATATTGTTTCGAAGATCCCACGATCCATATTTGTCCGACGTCTAACTGCAGTTCGAGAATAACAAACGCGAGAAAATCAGGCAGGTTTCAGACGTCGACGAGAGTGCATCATCAGGTTCTGAAACATGGACATACCTACCGCCAGCTGACACGCCATATTTCTTGATTCGAATGTGATCGTGAGGTGTTGTAGCAGTGTCTCACTGTGGAGGATATGCCGAGAAAGTACATGGCGCTAATCAAAGCTCTTTACTCGAACTCACACAACCGTCTAAAGGGTTATGGAGAGCTGTCATCAGAATTGACGACAATTAGTGGTGTCCAGCAGGAACGTCCTATTTCACTTTGTTATAAACGTAGTAATGGACATAACCTTAGGTATATCTGACTTCATAGGGATTGACCTACTCCCTGGAGGTCATCTGGTTGACTTTGAGTATGAAAAAGCTGACACAATGCTGGGTCTTGTGAACGCGTTGAGCAGAAATCTGAGCACGTTTGCCATGCGTTTTGCTGGCACCTGTCAAATGTAAGATGATGCTCCATGACTGGTCTGATCCAAGTACTCCCAGTCTGATGATAGGGAGGGAAGTGATGGAATATGTCGACCGCTTCACTTACTTGGGGAGTCGTATCAGCCCGAACGGACTGGTTGCTGACGAAATTTCAGCTCGGATAAAGAGGGCCCGTTTGAAATTTTCAAACTTGCGTCATCTGGGGCGCAGAATGGTAAGATATGTTACGATCTATCTAAGGACGAGCATGCTGCACTGCAGTCCGTTCTGTCATGTTGTACGGCTGTGAGGCATGGCCATTAAAGTAGCAGACATGAAGCGGTTACGGGATTTTGATCACAGGTGTCTTGGTAGCGTTGCTCACGTTTAGTGGAATAACCATATGAGCTATGTTGAAGTCAGGTGAAGGGAGCTAGGTAAGATAGAAGAGTCAGTTGACACAGTTGTCAACCTTAGTCGACTGAGATGTGTTAGACATGTACTGCGCATGCCGAGCAGCCACCTACCTCGACATCCCATGTTAAGGAAAGTCAGTTTAGGTTGGAAGAGGGTTGAGGGTATCCAGATGAAGACATGGCCTAAGTCGATGAAGTCTCTTACTGATGTTCCTTGCCATCTGATGAAATATAGAGTGCCTGACTTGGGTCTCCGAAACGATAGGAATCAGTAGTTGAGGATTCTTGGCGACGTGGCTTAAAGTTGGTCACAGATGTATTAACTCTTCGGGATCTTCTAAAGGTTGAATATTCGCATTAACCTTTATCTTCAGATTATTTATTCTCTCACGCAATTCTGCCTACTTTGGTATCGCTCTTTTTCTACCCACCTTTTCCTTGGGTACTACTATGAAGTGTGTCAACTTGAGCCGATGTACGTATGTGAGAGGTTCTACGTTGACTTTGTGAATCATTGTCTTTAATAATAGTTTTAGGTAAGTTTCTGCAACAAAGACTTCAGTGTACTGTCTACATGGTCAAGACTCTAAGCTTAGAAAAAGGAAACTCACTAATAGTTTGACCAACACTGAGTTTCGTTTAACATCAAGAATACTAGCAACTGTCACTTTTACCAGAATTCTTTATTATCAGAGAGTACTTTTTCAAGACATCAGTGATTTGGAAGATTGTAATGCCGCAGAATTGTTCAGGGATTCTTTTCAGGTGTGTGATTTCCAAACACTCAAAGTTAAGAGTCGTACTAAAAGATTTGTGTGCATTCATAGAAGATAAATGAATAAATCACCCTTCTTGGTAAATCATATCCACTTACAGAAGTAAATGCACTGAGATGTTTGATATTCAATGAAATGTATCTTTTCAATCTTTTCCTTCAATCAGGTAAGAATTAGCTGTGCAGTGTAGATAGTTAGAAAGTCTTGCTGACCATAACAAAATATTGCAACCAAAGTTCAGAAAAATGAGAGTGTTTCTAGGTATGCATTTTGGAGCATTAACTTGAGTAAAGTTTAGGTTTTTAGTAAACTCAGATCTAATTGTATGAAATTAGTCATTCTTTTATCATACACCAGCATAATGGGATCATAAGGATTGCAAAAACTAAGATCTCCAAATCTTGGAGCCGTGATTTGATTACCCAGTTATCTAGCCATATATTTCAATAATCTCTGCTTACTTCGGTAATAGAAAACTGGATATTATCATTTTATCGTGTCGATTGTTTCCTTTAACACTTTTTACGGATCCACGTAAGCAAATATTGATTTTGCTGGTTAAAGTTTAGTCTTTATACGAGTTATCAATTCCTACACTAGGTTATTCTTTCAAATCGCCACTTAGTTTTAATGTTGTTACTTGTATTATCCCGTCATTGGTCAGACCGAATTGATCCGTCCCTGTTGACATATGGGCTTCTATGCAGATGCCTCGATATTGCCTATGTTTCAGTTGTATATTGGTGATGGATAGTGGCTTGCTGTAGAATACAGGACGCACGTTCCGTCTTGTTTGGGACTCGTAAGCTGGATGTACTTGCCTCGCAGTGAGTGTTGTTCCCACTAAGACTCGAACCTGGGGCCGATTGCTTCAAACATTAGAGCATTATCCATTAGCCACTTCCTGTACGACAGGTATGGTTTTAATGTTGTTACTTGTATTATTCCAGTATTATGCCAGTAGAGACCGATCAATTCGGTTCAATCAACCATTGGATAGTACAAGTAACAGCATCAAAACCATACTCCTCCCACAAGAAGTGGCTATCGTGACTCAGTGGCGTCGCGGATAACGTTCTGATGTTTGAAGCGATCAGTCCTCGGTCAGAGTCTTAGTGAGAACAGCATCGGTCACTGGGAGGTAGGTGTATCCGGCTGACGAATCCCAAACAGGACGAAACGCACGTCCTGCATTCCATTGCTAGCCCCTATCCATCATTAATATATCATCACTTAGTTGACTTGGATTTTCACTCAACCTATAATAACACAAGTTTAGAATCTTGTAGCAAATTGGATGCATTAAATACAAGCTGTATCGAACTAACGATTGCAAAGATTGACAAAACATTCACTACATGTAAGTAAAAGAAATTTAGTGTTATCCAGTCACTAAATTTTATTGGGAATGGGAAAACTTCACAGTACTAAGGTTGTAATAATGATGATATCATATATTTTGAAGTCAGTTTTCTCCATATATCTATTTCTCGTCGCTAATAATATACTTTTCCTTACTTAATAAAAGTAGTTGCTATGATTCACTTTAGTACAAAACTGTTGTAAAGACGTTTTTAAATTTTGCTGCTTGAAATCTTCATGTTTATTCTCTTCCTTTCTTTTAGAATGTTTCTTCAGTAATAAGCGTAGCAGTGTCAGACGTACTTATAAGTTTGGGTGGTATACAGTTATTATATCCTTTATTCAGTCGTTTGGATTGGCCTGTTGAAAAATTTAATGGTTTCGGAGATGATTCTGATCTTTCGAAGTTACTCTCTTTGCATCCATCATTTACAAACCTTCAACCTTCTATACCTGAAATACCGTAAGTATCACCTGAAATTTCTTATTCATCTTCTAAGTATGTTCTAAGTCTACTTCACTTCTATTGCCTTTAATGATCAATATGAAACGTTCAAGATATATGATACTTTTACTTATGATCAAACCTATTCATGAGACCATAGACAATCTGTTATTATGCAGCAAATAAACCGTTATCAATATCTGAGAAAAACTGTTTTCTTCTAATGTGTATCAAAAAAGTTCCATTCCAATTCAAAGACTTTTTGTACAAATAATTTGATGGAATAGCCATGGGTAATCCACTATGACTGGTGATAGCTGATACCTTCATATGACACGTAGAATGCACCATGTTGAAGTCTGCAATCGACGGAAGTGAGTTTTATTCCAAACTTGTTGATGACTTGTTGGTTGTGTATTAGCGTTCACTAAGTAACAGTGCTTCTTCAGAGGGTGGAACAATGCCCTTCCGATTATTAAGTTTACAACTGGACATGGATAGAAGCACCCGTTAAACTTTTTCGAAGTATGGTTGAAACACATAGAGAATGGTACGATAGGAAAAGTACTTACCGTGAAACCACTTGAAGTAACCAATACCTAAACATTAACAGCTTTTGTCCGGTATGCTACAAAAGGGGTTTAATGAGAATGTTACATCGGAGAGTAGAAAAACTGGGTCTTAAAATAGCTTGGAAGTGGAAGTCAGATTGATTGATTAATGTTCTGCTAGCAATGAGTTTCCGATAAAATTTTTGCAGAGGTAATACCAATGTAAAAAGAGAAGAGTAAGACAGAGCTCTAGAAAAGAAACTAGTATGCTTTTAAAGATGATGTAGGACAGAAAATCAACAGACTAATCCGAAGTACACTATGTAGGATTTAAATTGCTGCGAATTTTGTCTCGCTGTATCAAACGTCGTGTTTAATTGTAATTAAATTAGACCAGTTTCCGACTCCCATTAGATGTAACCATGTTTTTATCGATTTGTATGCATAAGTGGTAGTGAGTGTGTAGGAAGAATGACAAGACGGCTGTTGACCAGGATTGTTGAACATATCCCTAAAAGTTGGTGCTTCAGAGGCTCGGCTTCATTCAACAATACAATAGGTTGGCACCTAGTTGATACAGAGCATCAGATCTTGTTTCACTCATATGGGAAAACAGCATTCGCCTTGGGGTATACAGCACGTCTTTATCATTTTGACTATCTGAGTGAGAGAGCCGTGGTTTGGTAGATTAGTATTGATACTGAGTGAAGTTTGAGGGTGAAAGGAGAATTTGGGGCGCGGCAGGATTCGAATCAACGACCACTGAGTTGCCGGCCTGATGCTCTACCAACTGCGCTACGAGACCCGACTTCCGACCAGATTTTTATTTCACTTCTGTCACCGAGAGTCTTGCCCCATCAGCATGTGAATTCGCGACACGTTACTACCGCTTGATCGTACTCACACTGGCTACCCAGTTAAGACTTCTCACCCCTATCCAAATGTACTCGAATTAGAGAGCGGGATCATCGTATTGATTATCATTTCACTTCGCCTTCAATCATCACCCAGTATCAATACGTCTTTGGCTTGACAAGATTTTATTATTTCAGTTTTCTTTGCAGTGTGAATTGAAATGTGTTTCTTTCTTCTAATCTTCAAACATCAGCTGACATCTTAAGGGATTGCACATTAAAGTATGTTAAGTTTTGTTACGGTGTTACAGCGGAACCTAAAGGTCTTGGGTCCGATCCCTGGAGATGCGGAGTCATGAGTGTGCACTGCTGAGGGGTCCCATTTTAGGACTAAACAGCTGTCTAGTGCTCCCAGGTTTCCAACATCCCTCCAAATGATGCCAGTCCATCATGAATAACAACCTAAAATCAATAAATAAATCCCCACAAACCTCTAAATTGGATTTATCTGGTGCTCATTAGCGACTAGCTTTAAGAGGTGATTCCCGAAGTTCCAATGAGAAGTGGTGACCAGAGGGACCAACCAAGCGGAACGAGAGGATAATTACTCAACGACGAAATTAGATGGAGGTTGTACAATGCCGTGAACTGACTGAAATAGGAAATTTGGACCGTTGGATTCCAACCCAGAGGCTCGATGATAACGTGCTGGCCACGGGACCTTCAGGTCCTGGGTCGATTCCTGGAGGGTGGCATCATGGGCACGCACTCCTGAGAAGTCCCATATTAGGATGAAACAACTGTCTAGTGCTCCTAGGTTTCCAACGTTCCTCCAACTTATGTCAGTCCATAATGAATACCAACCTAAAATCAGAAAAATTAAGGTTTACCGAACTGATAACTTGGTTTGACTATTATCTAAACTTTTGTTTAACCTGCATGACTTGATATGCTGTAGTTGGCTATTATGCACATAAAAGACGCTCCTGTTCCTATCTCATCAGACCACTTATCTGAACAAATCTTTTTCTGAATCACAAACCTAACTATCCCGTACATTCTATGCTGTGTGTTTATCTCCTACCTACATATAGGTTGGCAAAATACCTAGCAAAAGTTTTAATTCCTATTCAAAATGAAATTTTCTTCGAAAGATACATTTGAACCTATAAGTTGTTTTAATGGCATCCATATTAGTGACAAGACTTTATATTCCTATGATGTCAGTTCTTTACTTAATGATGTGCCTGTAACCAGAGGCCGTTATCTTCTAGTAATCCCAATTTTCCTGTCACTTCAACATATCTGAAGGAGTCAATATTATTGTGCAATGATAAGTTCCATTTCATACTTAAAGGGGGAACATTTTTGGCAAATCAATTGCATGGAGATGTGGCCTGTTCGCTAAAAGGATTTAACACCTTAAAAGACCATATTCGCTCAACATGTGAAGAATTAAAAGATAACCACCTGCAGTTCTTGGATATACTCCTGGGTCATGAGGAAGACATTTCAACATAACAGTTGGTGTTCAAAAAACCAACTTTGACAGAGCAGTACTTAAGTTTGTATAGCTTTTACCCAGCGTTAGCTTGATTAGACGTTTATTTAACAGAACCTGGCATACTTGTACAGAAGACTTAACTGAAACATTAATAAGAAATGAATATCCATTGAAGTGTATAAACCGCTGTAGAAACCAGTCAGTGTTAAAACCCATTCCGTATTCTATTTCAAAGAATAACCTTTATATCACCTTAGGATACATAGGGTATTCTTATCATACAATTTTAAAGCATAGCCTAAGGTCTGTCATCGGCAAAACGTATTATCCAGCTAGACATCTTAACTGAGAAAACCAAATACTTTACAGCGCTAACCTCACCAATGTATGAACGATCGCATCACGTCCTACTGCGTTCGCCAGTTAACATTTGCAAATGGACACATACATATGAAGGTCTAATCGAGATATATACTAGATCTTATTGTAACATGCACCAAAATGGTTACAAAAGCAGTTGGTACCACAGTGACAAGTGTATTTGGCAGACAATCGTCTTCTTCCACTGCACAACACATTATCAATAAACATCACAGGATTGATATTAAAGTAGTCTTTGGAATTTTGTTTGGAAAACTGTTAGGGACGTAAACTTAGGTTTGCTAAAGCGCTAACCATACACAAATGTAAGCCCTTGTTGTGGGTTAAAGAACAGTTTGTCCTTATGCCAAGCCTACCCTGGCTTCAAAACTTACTATTCCTAATCCATTATATTCTTTATTATTACATTTCATATTGTTGCATTTGTTCTGTTTGACCTCATTCTATTTCTGTTTTCCCCATAAAATGCCCTGACTAATAAATGTTCGGAATATATATCGGAGATACATCATATTTTTCAGGTAAACTACGTTTCCTAATTATGCTATACAATGTTTGAGTATACTAATTTTTAATCGTCCTACCTTTTGTGAATGAACTGTAGCCATTGTCTTCAACCAAGCTGAGCATCACTTTGTAACCTATTCCATCTACTCATGGTTGCGTGACCAGATGGAGTATCGTTAGCCTTCACAAAGCAATTCCAATCTATAACATAGTACACAAACTATAAGAATATAGAAAGTGTAACTACAATCATTTTCATCTTTTGAGTACAAATTAATTTATTTTTAAATAGATCCTCTCTTTCTATCTTGTCTCTTTCACAGAACAACCTTAGTTCGTCTTATTTTTGGCTTAGTTCGTACATCGACTACATTAAGAAATCAGTTTATTACAACTAAAGGTCTTCTTGTTATTGCTAATGCTTTGAATCAATCACAGGCGAAACATTTAACAAAGAGTTTACTTGATGAAGTTATAAGTTTTACGTGTCATCTGCTGAAGGCGATCAGTACGACTTATGAGGGTGGCGCTACTACTTTGAATACTCACAGTAATTCAATGGTTAATTCTAATGTTCATGTTATATTAATTAAACAAATGTACGGTTACTTAATAAGTAATTCAGAACTGTGGTGCAGAGCAACAGTAGATGTAAGTTATCATTTTTATCTGAAATCCTTAAAAATGGTTTTTAAAATATTATTTGCATGTATTATGTGTGGTGGTTGTTTTCGAATTTGAGTGGTTGTCTGCACGCCTCTGTGATGATAAGTCGCTTAAACCTATCTCCATTTGTTCATTGTTTCGCTGTCATATCGATACCTTAGGTTGTCTAAACTTCTTGGGCGAGGATCTGAATATTCTTCTTTTTTTTTAATTTGTTAGGTGTAAAGTAATATACTTCAGGATTTTATTGTAGTATCATCTGCTTAAAGAATAGGGGTGACATTCGTGAATTCCTTGAATACTTCACTTCTCCGGGAAGTTGCATAGTAGTGAGTATCTCCGCCTATCACGTGGAAGGCCTGGATTCGATTCCCGGTCGAAGAGTTGGCTTTTATCAACCTATAACTTCTACCTTAACGTGGTGGTCGGGCTAGCATATTACAAGCGATTCACTCGCAGAGGAGACGACTGGAACGATGGGCAGAACACTTCGAGGAACAGTTTAACTGGCCTTCAACCACCATTCCGTTGCCCACTATCCAGTCGGATCTTGAATGGGACATAGAGATAGGTCCCCCAACACTAGAAGAAGTTGACAAAGCGGTAGGTAACCTGAGACGAAGAAGGGCGGCAGGACCAGACGGACTACCTGCTGAGGTATACAAGGATAGTGGTAGAGTGCTCTTAGTCAGGTTAACGGAAGTGTTAGCCAGTATATGGGAATCAAATAAGATCCCCTCCGACTGGTCTAAGTCACTCATTATCCCAGTCTTCAAGAAAGGCGGGAAGTCCTCTTGTGATAACCACAGAGGAAACAGCCTGACGAACGAAGTGTCTAGGATTCTAGGTCCTATAATTCTCCAACGCCTGATTGGAGCTCAGGAACAGCAAGCCCGAGAAAACCAGGCAGGCTTTAGACCTGGCCGAGGGTGTATCGACCAAATATTCACACTGCACCGGGTCCTGGAACATAGGAATGCTTACAGACCCCCGACGATAGCTGTATTTCTCGACTTGAAGGCGGCATTTGACTCCGTTGATCGACAAGACTTATGGCAATGTCTGTCACTGAAAGGCGTGCCTAGTAAGTACATCGCCTTATTGAAAGCTCTCTACTCGAACACTTGTGGGCATGTTAGAGCCTATGGTGAGTTGTCCAGGGAGCTACACTCATCGAGTGGTGTCCGTCAAGGATTCCCACTGTCTCCATTATTATTCAATTTCATCATAGATATTCTTATGGAGGTTTCCCTCTCGTCACCTAATTACACAAACGTTGACTTAATCACAGGAGAATTTTCGTTAGACCTAGAATATGCAGATGACATAGTCCTGTTAGGTGAAGACGCTGACAAGATGCAGAGTATTCTGAACACTTTGAGTGGGAATTTGAGAATTTTTGGGATGCGATTTTCACCACCCAAATGCAAATGTTTGCTCCAGGACTGGTCTTCAGCGGTACCGCGGCTAACAATAGAGAGTGAAGTGGTTGAGTGTGTTGACCACTTCACTTACCTGGGAGGTTGGATCAACCTTGGTGGGTTAGTTGGCGATGAGATTTCTGCACGGATACAAAAGACTCGATTGGCTTTTGCCAATTTGCGCCACCTATGGCGCCGTCGTGATATTCGTTTGTCTATTAAGGGTCGCATGTACTGCACAGCAGTCCGCTCTGTTCTACTGTATGGCTGTGAAACATGGCCATTGAAAGTGGAGGATATAAAAAGGCTTCAGGTGTTTGACCACCGTCGCCTTCGTAGTATAGGACGTATTCCGTTGTGTCACTATGTGAGTAATGCAGAAGTCAGGTATAGAGTTTTAGGGAGAAGAGGTAAATCAGTTGACGAGGTTATGAACCTTCATCGACTGAGATGGTTGGGACACGTACTACGTATGCCCAGTCACCGATTGCCTCATCACACAATGTTGGTTGAAGTAGGCCCAGGCTGGAAAAAGGCTCAAGGTGGCCAGACTAAAACATGGCACCAATGTATGAAGTCTCTGACTGTTGGTTTAAGCCATGTAGGACGATGCACACTAGGTGGTTGGGGTCCATGGGACAAGAGGAACCAGTGGTTGGAGACTCTAGGTGATATGGCTCAGAACCGAAGTCAGTGGCGCAAATGTATACATACGTTATCCTCATCTTAACGATGCTATACCGAATATCACCACTTTCTCATTCTTCGTTTATCTCTTTTAGTACCTTATATTTCTTTTGACTGCATTCTCTTATCTTCATTTTTCACCTCATTACCTTTCTCCTTGATGTACTGTACTGAGCTGTGACAACTCGGACCGTTGAGCACTAATGCCTGGTCCTAGGTTGATATTGATTGATCGATGGATTGATAGCATATTACAATGATCCAACGATCTATTCTGGTGGAACGCTTGTTCTTTCGAGGTTCTACCATACCAGAAAAGTCTTTTGGATAGTACTTAGACAAAAGGCAGTTACTATTATGGTGTAAATTACTACATTGTGATAGGGACCCGTAGGCGAAGCCAAACTGCTGGCTGGACGGGAATATGACAGAAATAAGGTGTTCCCCTTAGATGACCAACAGTGCCACACTGGTGCTGCCTTCCCCATGGGAAGGTGAGTTTGGAAAGGTCGGCTCCAAAAATAGCAAACCCCCATCATCCCGTTGTATACGGATGCCTGCTAAGAGGTTTCGTAGTCGGATACAAATCCAACACACCAAATTCTCAAACCTGCTAAAAGGCTGCGTGTGACCGGCCTCAGTGAGATGTCCCTTGGACTCTGCGCTTACTCACTAACCTTTGTTTTTCAGGTATCTTAAGAAGATTTAGCCTTCCATGGTGTGGGAAGTCGGAAAGTGCCAACTGTCAGCGCTCAAGTTTCCTTAGATCACTGTCCACCTCCCACATCCTTATTTTCTAATCTTCCTTCACGTCCCTCAGCTAACAATTCTACATCATCTTTAACTTCTCCTATCTGTGCAGCTCTCGACAACGATCTGAGTTCATGGAACGGGATCCCTGGTCTCCTAATACCGCGCTCCAAATTACACATTGAAGCTTTCAGTGTTCTTACTCTTCGTCATATTGGCCAGCAAGCTTCACTAGCTGAAACTGTGGCAAGTGAGTCTGTGAAATACACATACAGCACCCTAATCTGCAAAATTCAGTCTTCGAGTTTCTGGAGATTCGATGGCTGGTTCTCGCGGTCTTGCAGGTCTATGTATGTTGATTTTGTCAGTCATCCAGAAGAAGCTTGGAAGCATCCCCAGTTTACCGTAAAAACAACGTTGCAGGCCGTAATCGACTATCAGAGAGTGGTTAGAAGACGCCAGTATATCTTAACAGCTTCTTTCGAACTAATGGATGCACATGGGCGCACCCCTGCAGGGTCCGAATACAATGAGGACGAATGCAGTTCAAACATGAACTGACAGAAAGTCTACGCAATGACCGCGGACAGTGACGGACAGAGAAGCCTATAGAGATGGGAAAAGCAGCGGTGATAAGTAACAGCATACAGTTATTTAGACTTATTAAGGAAACTGGAGCGAAAAGGTCAATGGATAGTGAGACGATGGAGGAAAAGGATGGGTCTGCAATTCACTTTCAAGGGAGATGACTGGAAAGATGGGCGGAACACTTTGAGGAACATTTCAACTGGCCTCCAGTTACCGTTTCGTTCTTCGTTATCCAGTCGGAGCCTGAATAGGACATCAAAATAAGATCCCCAACACTTGCAGAATTCAAGAAAGGTGTAGGTGACCTGAAACGAGGATGAGCAGCAGGAACAAGTGGACTAGTTCTAGAGGTATTTAAGGACGGTGGTCAATAATTTTAAGTCGTGTTAACTAGTGTATGAGAGTCAGATACGATCCTCCGTGATCGGTCCCAACCAATTGTTATTGCAGTCTTCAAGAAAGTCGAGAGTCACTCTTGTGATAACCACAAGGTAGTCAGCCTGATGAACAGTGTCGACGATTCTGGGTTCTATAATCATTAGACGTCTGAATGGAGCTCGAGAATAGCAAGCCAGAGAAAACCAGGCCGACTTCAGACCTGGCGTTGAATATATTGACCAGATATCCACACTTCGTTAGGTTCTGGAACACAGACACAACGATGCCCGGCACTAGCTGTATTTCTCGACCTGAAGGCGGCGTTAGACTTTTTCGGTCGAGAAGTCTTATGGTAGTGTCTTGCTAAGAAGAGAACTGTGTAAGTACATCACTTTGTTGAGGTCTATTTACTCGAACACCCATGGCCATGTTAGAGCCTATGGTAAGTTGTCACGTGAGCTGTGTACATCCAGTGGTGTTCGTCAGTCCAGTTTTGTCACAGACGTTCTTATGGAGGTCTCTCTCTCGTCATCTGACATCACAGAGATTTGTCTAATCACAAAATAATCCTTGATATATCTAGGATACGCACATGTCGTGGTTCTGTTAGATGAAGATACTGACAAGATTCAGGTCTTCTAAACACTTATAGTAGCAGTTTGAGAATGTTTCAGATGCGTTTCACGCCACCGAAATGCAACTTACCTCTCCAGGACTGGTTTTCAGTAGTGCCCAGTCTAACAATATAGAGTGAAGTGGTTGAGTGTGTTGAACACTTCACTTACCTAGAAAGTCGGATCAGCCCCAGTGCGTTGGTTAGTGGCCTATGACATCTCTGTACAGACACAAAAGGCTCAATTGAGGTTCACCAGCTCATACCATCTGTAGTGCCACAGCAATATCCGACTGCCCATTGAGGGTCGAGTGTAATGTGCTGCAGTTCGCTCTGTTCTACAATATAGCTGGATGTGAAACATAATCATCAAAGTTACATGACCTGAAAAGGCTTGTGCTCGACCACCGTTGTCTTCGTATCACAGACTGTATGTCGTGATGTCACAACGTGAGTAACGCAGGAGACTCAGGTGTGTAGAGTTTTAGGGAAGAGAGGATAGTCAGTTGATGAGATTGTGAACGTTTATCGACTGATATCGCTGGCTGACAAGTATGTGGCGCATGCCTAGTCACCGTCCACTTCGTCGTGTAATGCTAGTTAAAGTATTTTCTGACTGGAAAAGGGCTCGGAGCGACCAGATTCAGAAATGGCTTCACTGCATGAAGTCTTTGACTGTTGGTTTGAGCCATGTAGGGAGATGTAGACTAGCCGGTTGGGGTCCACGTGACAAGAGGAACCAGTGGTTGGGGATTCTAGGTGATACAGCTTAGAATCGATGTCAACGGCACAGATGTAGCCACATATCTTCATCTTAACCGTTATACTGGATTCGACATTTTCTCATTCCTGCTTCCTCTCTTTTACTGCTGACATAAGTTGGATAATCATAAAAACCTGAATCCACTGTACAGCTGTTTTATTCTAGTATGGGACTCTTCAACAGTACACTTCGAGATGGATATCCTGAAATTCCGATGAGAAGTCGTGACATGTGGAGTCAACGAATTTGAGATTGAAGCAGGTGCTCACTGATAACTCTGGATGTTAGTCGCGCTACATCACGGTTTGGCAGAAGTAGGAACCTGTGAACCATTGAACTCTAACCCAGTGTCTGAATGGGCAACGCTCTCTCCTCTCTCCTGAAGGTCCCGAGTTCGGTCTCTGATGAATTCCTCACTAGGACGAGACAGCTATGGAGTCCTCTCAGTTTTCCAGTGGTTCTCCAAATGATTGCAGTCCGCGATAAATGCTACCTTGAAATAAATAACTTTCTATTGATTTATCAAATTTTTTGCATTGAGTATTTCTGATTTTTTCCACTTCTTTGGCTGATTGAAAATTTCATGTATCGTGTATACATATTTTAGCTAGTTGTATAGCTTTTACAATTCTGTGTGTCATTGAATCGTGTTTCAAACCGTTTATTCACGCATGAAGTATTGACTGTACTCTTCTCCATTAATTAATCGGATCAGGAATCAACTAGGAATTTGTTGAACGTTGTTGGTTGACACTCGATATCCGTGCATCGTTAGCTACCCTAGCATATAGCAGTTTCCAAAACGTAACATTTTCACTTCAAAATGCATGCATACATAACAGAAAATACGCATTTTCACACAGAATGGTGCTAACCCCTGGGGATAACTTTTAGCCTCACTCAATACAAGTTTAAGAACTGCATATATATACTATGTCACATTTATTACTTCAAAGCCGGTGATAATATGTGACTGCTGAAATCTCGGTAGATGAAATTGAAGTGGGATTCGAACTTATGTCCAACTAGTTTAAAGTCAAATACTTGAGCTATTGATCTAAAGCTTTATACTCTAAGGTGTGAATAGTAAATTAGGATTAATGTACTCACCTCCAATATGGTTATATTATTACTGCGTGTTCTCGTAACGACACGAAAATCGTTATTTCTTCAAAACAAGTTCATTGGCCCCTCTTGAAGAACAAACAGCTAATGGCGATTGTGCTGTGTGTAGAGTAGATAAACTATGCACACAGAAGATATCTTTATTTAGTCTTATAAACTTGTATAAACTAAACAAATCCGTTAACATGTTTATATATATATACATATATATATATATACTTGTAAATGTGTTTGAAGAAAATGCGATTGTGTTGCATGTATGCGGTCAAGTGGTGATTATGTGTTCTACAATCTGGTTAAGTGTTATTTCGCTTTTATTTACTCATAATACTACGAGATTTATAAGTAGAGCTGTTAGCTCAATGATCTAGACTTTCGAGATTCAAACATTAGGTCACTGGCTCAGAAGTTTCTCTACCTCCTCCTACATCGGTTATTGGGTACTTATACCGTAGTGTGAAATACATAAGTAATAATTAAGAATGATATTATGATACTATTTTATTGATTGGGTTTTTATCGCATGCCAAATTATGCAGTATCGGTTGATTGCAGTAATGAAATGAAAAGAGAACAATACTAGACGAACTCAAATAAATTCAAATCAAAAGTTTGAGGCGAATTCGGAGGTTTGTGGAGACAGTTACTCAACGACAACATTGGATAAAGGTCGCACTATGTTGTGAACTGACAGATGTGGGAAATACAGACCATTGGGTTCTAACCCAGTGGCTCGATGATAACGTGCTGGCTGCGGAAGGTCCTGGGTTCGATCCCTGGAGGGTGGGGTCATAGGCACTCGCCGCCGAGGAGCCCCATACTAAGACGAAACAGCTGTCCAGTGCTCCCATGTTTCCAATTTTTCTCCAAATGATGTCAGTCCACGATGAATACCAACCTAAAATCAGAAAAATTAAGGGTTACAAATCTGACAACTTGGTTCAGCTATTATCTGAACTTCTGTTTAACCTTCATCACTTGATATGCTGTACTTGGCTATTATGTACATAAAAAACGCTTCTATTCTTATCTCATCAGACCATTTATCCGAACAGATATTATTCTGAATCAAGTAGAAGTGAATTGATTGGAGTTAGGGTATTGCCAGTCGACTAATAATTAAACTACTCAACAGGTTATTAAGACTTACTGGAATGATAACTGAAGCTGAAAAGGTTTGTGTGAATGTATGATGCACACCAGTGAATCTACGGTTGCCACTATGGTGTTCTACATATTATGCAATAGTTTTGTTAGATGAAGACACTGGAAAATCGGAGAGTCTTATACACACTATAAGTAGCAACTTGGAAATGTTTGGATGTGTTTCTCGTCACCCAAATGCAAATTGTTGTTTCAGGAACGTTTTGGTTGAGGTCGTTGACCACGTAACCCACGTGGGAAGTTGGATCAGAGCTGGTGGGTGAGTGACCGACGTAATCTCCGCACGGATACAAAGGGCTCGATTGGCTTTCTTCAACGTACGCCATCTGTGATGCTGCTGCGACATCCGATTGTCTATTAAGGGTCGAGTGTACTGTGTTGGAGTTTGCTCTATTCTACTATATAACTGCGAAACATAGTCATTAAAGGTAGAAGATATGAAAAAAATCCAGGCGTTTTTCCACCGTTACCTTCTTAGCATAAACCATGTGTCGTGCTGCCATCACTCCAGTAATGTAGAACTCAGGCGTAGACTTTAAACCAGAAGAGGTGTTCCAGTTAGTGAAGTTGTTAACCTTCATTGACTCAGATGACTAGGATGTGTTACTAATGCATCGACACTGTCTGTCCCGTCGCACAGTATTAGGTGATATAGGTTCAGACGGAAAAGGGGATAAAGCCGATTAGATTAAAACACATCACTTCATAAAGTCTCTGACTGTTGATCTGAACCGTGTAAAAAATAAAGGCCTCCTGGTTAGGATCCGCCTGACAACCGAAATCACTGACTGGAAACTGTAGGCAATATAGCTGAGAATGGAGCTTACTGATGCAGATGTATCTAGATATTATCTTCATCTGAATTATCATATCGAAGTTCATTTTTATTCTTTTCTTTCCTGTTCTCTTTTTACCTCATGTCACTTGATTCCTTTCTCTCTTATTTCTCCACCTTTTATCTTGGTGCTTTCTACTTTGATGTGCTGATGTGAGAATCGTGGCAACTTGAACCATAATCCATTAATACCAGATCTTATATTGATGCTAACCGACTGACTGACTACCTTACTTGGTAGACTATGAGACCTTAATACTAACAAGGTCTCATCATTAACTTTAATTTTTTCAACTTCGTTCCTTGTTATCAGCTCATCAGTCACACACATATTAATGTACCAGTCAGAATAAAATTGGATGCATGATAGCTAGCGGTTTCACTTGAATGATCACAAAAGTGTATGTATTTTTTTATGATCCGATTATGTAGTTGAGTTTGAAGTTTTTAGACCAATATAGCCACTACCACATGGGTTCATTGGACTCTGACTTGAAGTTTGTCCACTTGTACTTTAAATGCTTTTTGTGCTAGATTTGAATTATCACTTAAGTAATTCATAGGTGAGTATTGTACGAAAAGAGGAGATCTTGCCATTCAGTATTAGAACTTCTTTGTTGTTAATTAGTGTTGAATTAATGTTCAAATGTTTTACCTAGATTGGTGATTGTGGTTGTAAAAATGCTTAGATATCGGAATTGTTTTGGTAGCATAAATTTTGAAGTTTTCAAATAACTTCCTAATAGTCTAGTTACTGTTGGTTGATTATTTTTTATTGCATACACTCCATATCTTGTATATACTTGTGTTAGCGATTAGTGGATTGATGTGAATGACTTACAAGTTATGGTACTTTAAAAAGAAAATGTTTACTGAATTCATGAAAAGGTGAAATCAAAACGTACTAAAAAAACCTTGTACAGGATCGTGAAGTAGGCAATAAACCACACCTACCTGGTTGCCCAAACCTCAGTAGGTAGGTCGACGTTTGAACTCGTAACTTATTGGTTGAAAGTCAACTCCCTAAATCAATGAGCTACAGTTCTACGTATTCATAAGAAAGTCAGTGGCCTATATATTATTGTTTGACAGTCACATACTATACTCAAAATGGTAGAGAAAGCCAAAAGTTACTCAAGTGTCATTGTTTGAAATCTGGTCAACATCGGTATATTTTTTTCTTACACTTGTTTGTATTATTTTTTAGTGTATTAATGTATAATATCATAGATAGGTCTAATTAAGGAGATTCATATAAACTTACCTTGTTAATGATTATAACCAATCATCATTCACTTTTAACTCTGAATATATAATTATAGGTTCAGGAATACTTATACCAATTTTTAGCTACTGATTTTATGGAAGCAGTTATCTCAGGTTATATTGGTCGAACTGGAACTGTGATACATTGTTTAAACACATTGAAATATTATCTGGCATTGGCTAATCCTCGTGCACGAAGTGGATATGAACTTGGTACACCAGGTGAGTATGTATATATGCATACCGTTCTGTTGATGATAATGTACGTAACATGTAACATTGATTTGAGTTCATCTTGAAGGCAAATTTATGATAAGAAACATTTACGAATTAATTAGTTAACTAACTAACTTACATGACTTAGACTCTGCTGCTTGTTTTCAAAATGTAATAGAGAGAGAGAGACAGAGGGTTTATGAACTGGGGCAATTGAAAAGTAGACTTAAATGCTAGAACTGTGGAGAGTTGTTCCCTTTATTTGTAACAGTTGTCAGTTATGCAGCTGAGCTACCCGTAATGGAAAGTGTGATGAGATAAGAAATTATGTCAAGGGTTTTAATTGATAATTTCCTTCTTATTATTTTTCTATTTTCGTCATGAATTGTTTATTTGTACAATTAAAAAAATTGATTTAAATTGGTATTGTGCCCTCGTGCCAGTTGGAAAGAATCGGTGGGTTAGTGAAAAAAACTATATACAGCCTTCTTCAGTGTTTTCTATGATCGTGATGTGATTATGGAACCCTTTTGTTATGCAATACTAATGGCTTTACTATCATAATATTATTATTTGTCCCTTGGGTTCCCAGTGGAACATAGGGCTTCAGTAGCACCTCTCCATTCCATTCTGTTTTCTGCAATCTTTTGAACCTGGCTCCACCTCTGCCCAGAAGCTTTCATTTCTTCCTCACACCATCTCCTCCATGTCAACCTCGCCTCCGACGCCCAACTCGCCGTTTCCCATCTGGGTTCCACTCAAGGGCCTGGCCTGGTGCGTGATGTCCCCGAATGGTCTTCTCAGTGCATGTCCAATCCATCCCCATTTCCTTCTGCATATTCGTTGAGCAATATCTTCCTGGTTGGTTCGTTGCCGGCCAGAGTTCTTTGTTGCTTATTCTTTGTGGCCATCTGATCTTCAGTAACGAGCTAGCGTAGGCAGTTGTTGATGAATATCTGTAGTTTGTTGGAAATGCTTTTCGTAAGGCGCTAAGTCTCTGAACCATCACATAGAAGCACTGACTTGGCTGAATTAGTGTTGAAAATCCAGATCTTGTTCTTTATGCTGAGTGCAGATCTCCACACTGGTTTCAGGTTAGTGAAAGCCTGTCTTGCTGTCTTTCCGATCCTGGCTTTGACGTCCTCGTCTGTGCCGCCTGTAGTTGAAACGATGCTGCCTAGATAGGTGAAAGAGACTACTTCCTTTAAATTTCTCCCGTTGATGTTGATTGGAGCTTGTTATTGTTGGTGGTGGCGTTGGTTGGTTATCTTCATCACCTCTGTCTTCACGTTCACTTGAAGTCCCGTTTTCGCTGCCTCTTCTGTCAACTTGTTGGATTTTGCCTGTACATCTTCGAGTTTGTGCGACATTAGACACGTCATCGGCGAAATTATAATATACTGCATAATAATGAAGGTGGAATAAAAATTCTGGTCGCGGGAGGATCCGAACTAACGACCTCTGGGTTACCGACCCGGTGTTCTGCCAACTGAACTATGAGACCCAGTGGCTGTCTAGATCTTCATTTCACTTCAATCATCAAACCACGGCTATCTCAGGTAGTCGAACTGTTACATATTCATACTTGATTCCATGCTACTATTCATCACGTTTAAAAAATCATTCAATGTTCTTAGTTACTTTTGCACTTCTTTTGTCAATCTAGTTTCCGGTATTGTTATTAGGTTTAAGATATCAGCTTGTTATCTGATGAATATGCTATGTCGATGCCTAAATGCATATCTACTTCAGCTCACCTCTTTCTCTGTTGTTCTATAATGCAGAATTGATTTCTTGATTTGAACGGGATAAATTCTTATTAGGAAAACTCTTGATCTTATACCTGCCTAGAGCCATTCCACCTTATAAAAAGCCAGTAATTTATCAACTTAGTTGAAAATACTTCATCTATATCCATTTTCCACCGGGATATTAAATTCAACTTAGCAATAGTTCTAAGCATCTTATAATGAAAAGTGTCTAGAGTACTGGTCAATTGTTGAAACCACTGGTTTCTTTTATTATATTTCTTAATTGCAGCAAATTAATTTAACTGGTCGAGTAAGTATATTTAATTCTGCATGTACAACGCTTACTATGAATGTTGCATGCAGTCGTCAGGCTTTTTTTTGAAAAACTAAGGCTAAGTTATATTAATAACTTCATTACGAATAGTGTTTTCGATTATTATTGTACAAGGTAAACCCTACCACATGCTTTAATTCTTGAGTTCAGAAAATAGAACGTTACGACAAACTTTACAAGCATAGTTCCAACCGCTCATTATCTTCTATCAAGGGTCTATGGAGGGTACTCGCTATATGTACTGTGTGAGTAATGGAGAAGTTTAGATTTTCCATGTCCATCCTGCTGCACAGAAACTCTTCATAATCATCATAAAATATCCTGTATTTTCTGTCTTTCAGTCGTTTACTATCATTGTAATCTATCGTTTGTATGTCATCTGTAAGTGGTTTAGTGTGGTCCAGCTGCCTATTTCATAAATCGTGTGGTAGATCTTGTGGTTTTTTTGTCTCCCTTGTAATGAGAAATTGCTACACATAGATTGAAACTACTGAATTCTTCTTAAACGTTTAATATGACACAAAGAACTTTGGTGCAATAAGTTATTTAGCATTATTCATGCGTTTCATTAAATTAATGTAAACACATCTAGGGATAAAATGATTTAATTCTAAGGAGTTTGAAGATACAAGGGGAACACCGATTGAAACATTGAAATTAGCTTACGTTCACTTTGTCCATTATATGGTGGCACACTTTGGGAACCATCGTACAAAATAATGCACAGTACATTAACCATTTTGTTAACGGTTAATTATTTCCCTGGTTGTTGGTTGGAGGAATAGTGGACCATAGTTGTGGTGCCTCAGTCAAATCTTTTGTATACAAGCAATGGTTCATTCTCTCATAAAATGCGCGTAAAACTCGTAGGGTATCAAGTAAAACAGGTAAATCAATTGTTAAGGTTATACGCTTTCGTTAAATGCAGAGTTTATTATACGTGCCTAGCCTCTACTTACACGATATTTTAATGAAGGTGGGATTAAATTGGCATAAAGTCCATAGCTATTAATCTGAACTGTTCAGGAAAGTATAAACATCCTAGTTAGAGATGTGAAATTGATGACTGGAGACTTTGCATGATATGGAACGGAATCAATTACATTAACGTAACCTTATTCATGCATTCAATGTAAGTACAGAACTCAGACATTGTAGTAGATGGTAATCACACACTAGACCAATCTATTTTATGTTGCATACAGTGATACTCTGTCGACTGAAGTATTGTGTTTACCCAGGTAGACAAATTGATATAATTGACCCAATACCTTGCAATAACTGTAAGTTTGCATAATAACTTCATATTCTTATTACATTATGCAATTTCATCAAAGGTATTAACTGTTTCAAGCAATCGTTAGGTCAAATACATGAGTCAGACTGACCAATTAGGTTTCGTCAAGTTGGCAGAACTTAGGAACCTAGTTTAGAGTAAATTAATAGACCCTATTACAATGAGTAATTTGGAAAAGAATTCAGTCATAGCTATGCGTACGATAACATGCAATCACAAAATGGGTTTTGACAGAGCCACGGCCCTAAAGAGTGATGTAATTAGGTGAAGAAAGAAGTTGATCACTGAATCCTTGTTCATCGATTCATCGCCTAACAGAAATGATCCAACACCGATTCCAGATACACATAAATTTTGCTGCTTCTAAAATTAAACATGGGGAATGGTGGAACTGTAAAAACTAACTCAGGAAGTTGTATGATTAGGTTGATGTGATTATGGATCATACAATGTGGTCGAAATATCATCCAGTGAATAATACTTTGTGGAGGTTAATTAATTGATTTTAGGTTGGAATTCATCACAGACTGACACCAGTTAGAGGAACATTGAAAACCTGAGAGTACTGGACAACTGTTTCATCCTAGTATGAAACTCCTAAGCAGTGCGCACCCATGACCCCACCATGGATGGAACGCTGGACCTTCATGTTCCTTGGCCAGGTTTCTAATGTTCCTCCAACTGGTGTCAGTGCATGATGAATTCCAATCTAAAGTTGATTAGGAAACTCCCAGATAGAATTAATCTAGCACTCATTGGTGACTAGCTTCAAGACGTGATTCTCGAAGTTCCAATGAGAATTCGTGACCATTGGAGTCAACCAAATCGAACAAGAGAACAGTTACACAACGACGACATCGGATATGGATCGCACTATATCGTGAACTGACAGGTGTAGAAAATGTGGACTACTGGATTCCAATCCAGTGGCTCAATGGTAACATGCTAACCACGGGACCTAGAGGTCCTGGGTTCGATCCCTGGAAGTTGGCGTCATGAGTGCACACTACTGAGGAGTCCCATACTAAGATGGAACAACCTTTCAGTGTTCCTAAGTTTTCAACGTTCCTCCAACTGATGTCAGTTCGTGATGAATCCTAGCCTAAAATCAATTAATAATACTATGTCACTGTGTGCTTTATCAAATAAACCAATTTAATATGGAGCATTCATACCCTTACTTGATGATAAAGTTTTTCTGAAGTCCGCTCTACTACTCCTTTATTTTAATTTCTTTTCGATGAATCTACATGCACATTATAATTTTTCGTCTTTTTGCCTTTCCTCATATTCCTTTTTCAACTCATTGTGCTGATGTGACAAATGACAAATTGATTCGACAAGCAATTGTGTCACATTCTGTATTATTCTTATCTGCTTGTTTGACACACAGTTATCAGTCATCACTGAACTCCGGGAGGGGGGGGGGATGTATTTGTGTGGATTGGAGGCAGTTTGTTTTGGAGAGTATAACGAACTAATAAGTATCGCAATCAGGCATAGATGTTTACGTAATCACTTCGACAAATGTAATTTCCGTAATAAAAATTGTACTTAGGTCTTCCATTGTGATAGAAGATGCATAATGATGTTTACTACTGTTTTGTATTTATTCTCTATTTTGTCATTGTTTTGTTTTTCTGGTGAATTGTAGGTCATGAGGTAATAGGCTCAGTTGAAGAGATAATTAAACTTCGTACCAACTTATTAATTTATCTGAAACGTTTATTTTCACGTGGTGGAATTACAGACAATGAGATGCAAGCAATTTTGACCTTTTAACTACAGTACATGAAGTAAGTGTAATTAATTTAGTGAATGTACTGATTTCTAATTAGATATGTGATTAGCGTAAAGATTTTATCATCCTTCAGCAGTGCGCACCCACGACCCGGCTAGGGGTCGAACTCAGGACCTTCAGGTTTCACGGCGAACCCGTTAACCATTCAGCCACTGGGTCGGTTTCCAGTGTTTTACAATTTTCAGCTTCTGTCAATTCACGACATAGCGCGACTGTCACCCAAAGTCTTCAGTTAGCATCCACTTCACTTCCGACTGGTTGACCCCACAGGGTGCGTACTGCTGAGGAGTCCCATACTAGGACGAAACAGCTGTCCAGTGCTCCCAGATTTCCAATGGTTCCCCAACTGATGTCAGTCCATGATGAATACTACTTCTAAATTAAAAATCCCCATTCATCTCAAAAATAAATAAATCTTTTATTGGCTAATAATCATCAAAACTGAATACTTTACAGTGAAATAATGAGTCGTCTCTAGAGTTAGAAAGAGACTGTACATAAGGATACAAAATAATAATACTAATTATAACCAATAGTCGGAGCAATTTATTACGAGAATATTGGTATGAAATTGGAATTAACATGTTAAGATAAAGGAAAGTAAAAACAATAACAATAATCAGTCATATATAACGTAGTCTGAGACAGATTTAGGTGTAACAACATAGAAGTGAATAGTTTTTACAGGTTAAATGGTAATCCAGAGGATAGAAATGGATATTCAAGATTGTTGACATAGGAATGAGAACTGAATCGATTGAGCGTCGATCACGTCATTGAAAGCAAGATAGTTAATAGTACTTATGCAGACAATAAGAAAACAAGGTGTATATTGAGATGAATAATAATGATAACATTGGCAAGAGTGCAGAAGAAACCAGCGTATGTCACCTTGCCATTCAAAGGTGACGACGTGCTAGATGTAGTTAGACGAAGACTGGAGAAGTCTATCAGAAGGCCTTACTACGCAGCTAAACTGGTTCTTAGCACCACCAAAAGGGTATTGCAGCAATCAAGGAAAGACAGTACTCAGATCCTCGACACATCTAAATGCATATATCAATTCGAATGTACCTGCGGAAGCGAATACATTGGTCGTACGGAGAGGCGTCTGTCCACCCGAATGGTTGAGCACATACCGAAATGGTTGAAGCATGCTGAAAAGAAGACCCCGAGGAGCGCGATAACGAAGCACCTAATGGACTATGGACATGATATTGATACCTATAAGTCCTTTAAAGTTATCAGTAGACAGCAAAATAAGAAGTTGCTTGGATATGTAGAAGCCTGCACGATTCGAGTTGTCAAACCAAACCTTTGCATTCAGAAGGAAATGGTAGTCAGCCTGAATCTGCCATAACAATAATTACAACATTGTCTAATCATATTTAATCTTTCTTATTTTACTCTTCACTACTAATTATCACGCATCTTATATTTTTGTTTTCCTTCCCTGATTTATTTCGTCTAATTAACCTTATTCCTATTGCCAATGTTATCATTATTATTCATCTCAATATACACCTTGTTTTCTTATTGTCTGCATAAGTACTATTAACTATCTTGCTTTCAATGACGTGATCGACGCTCAATCGATTCAGTTCTCATTCCTATGTCAACAATCTTGAATATCCATTTCTATCCTCTGGATTACCATTTAACCTGTAAAAACTATTCACTTCTATGTTGTTACACCTAAATCTGTCTCAGTCTACGTTATTCATATATATATATATATATATATATATATATATATATATATATATATGTTCTTTTGTGTTGTTTAACGGTATATATAATCAAGTATGTAGAGTATCAAGCTGATGAGTACTACTGAAATTTATGAATTCATTAAATCCGGCTTTTTTCACACTTGTTGCTTGTTTTAAGTTTGTATCGGGTAACAAATGTTTTTAATAATCGGTCAATAAGAGTAAGATGAATATTGAAGCAATAAAGCAATAAATTGAAGGAAGAATGATGACCACGGTCAAATAAGAGAATGAATGTGCCTCTTGTGTATGTATAGCTTGAGTTTGTTTAGGATTTTGAAAGGAAACTGTAGAGAATCGACATGACTAGAGTTGACGACCATATGGTTAAGGATGTAGGTGTTTTATTCATACAATTACTTCAGTTTATTATCCCTAGCATCCAACAGAAGGTTTGATTGACAGGAAAATATAGAAACTCACACTAAAAGTGTAATGATTCATTCAGTTGGTTACACTTTTCAACAGCATAGAAACGATAAGTTAGACGAACTTAAAGGATATCAAAATAAAGAGGAATATATGAGTGTAGAGATGTGTTGAGGAAACATGACAATAATATGTCATAGCTCATGAAGCTGTGGCCACTTCAGTTCTGACCGACGGGTCACTGTTTTAAACTTAGCTCCATCTACCAAGGTTCGGCCAGTCAGATAGTAAGTATCCCTAGGTGTGGCTCATTGTCTATTAAACGAAGATATGTACAAGGTGCATGAGTAGATTTCAATTCAATTCTTACAGCTCAGAATTTCAATTCTCAGTTTGATTTCCTCATTAAGTATCAACTTCTGTCTGTAATCCATCCATCCAAGTCAACATAGGACCAGGCATTACTGCGTAACGGTCCGAGTTGCCACAGCTCATATCATTACATCAGGTAAAAAGGCAGTGAAGTGGAAGATGAAGAAAATAAAATTCAGTGAAAAGAAATATAAGGTACTTAAAGAGAAAGAGGAAGACTAAGAAAAAAGTGATATTCGGTATAGCATCGTTAAGATGAGGATAATATGTGTATATGCATCTGCGCCACTGACTTCGGTTCTGAGCCATATCGTCACCTAGAGTCTCCAACCATTGGTTCCTCTTATCCTGCGGACCCCAACCGGCTAGTCTCTTCTGTTAGTAAAGGGTTTCATTTTCAAACTAGATGTCATAAGTTCGACTCCACTGAAAAATGTACATCTTTAATGAATACAGCTTTATGAATGTGTATATCTATATGTATCAGGATTATCTTGTTTCTTTTGTTTGTGCTAATTTTATTACTAACATGTATCATATTCATGTGTGTTTTATCCACTTCACAATTATATTTTATTATTTATCTTTTGTTGGAAATACGATATTCGTATAAATAGCCAGAAAATACACATGATGTATTATATTTACTAGTCAGTACATTGATTGAATTTCCAACTACCTGTGGTTCAGTATTTATTCGTACTAATGGAATACATTGTGTATTTAAACTACTCACCTCCGAAGATGAACATGTTCGAATATATAGTATCAAATTATTTGGATTGTATCTTCTGTATGGAAAACACTGTTAGTTTATTATTATTACTATTCTAATGATTATTATTTCCTTGTTTAATAAGATATTAATCTATGCTTGCATGCCTTTTACTCACTTATTTTGGATCAAATCTACCTTACTAAAGTGACTAATAGAATAATACGAAATAGAAGAACTCTACTAATACAATAAGACACTTGGACTGGATATGAATAGCGACTATTCTCCTTCAGACCTGATACTTCACTGAGCAGTGAAAATCAGAAGACAAAGACTGACCTGTGACTGTAAGGAAGATACTTTTTGCGATAAAAGCATATCACTTGTATACAGTTCTCCTCAGAATTTATGAAGCCACTAGGTTAGAAATTGGATACTTATTTGATTGATCAGCTGTAGGACAAAATTGTCCAATAAGGTTTTCCTTACCCACACAGTTACATGAAACAAGGTTAAAATCCCAAACTTCTACCTTACCGGCTGATGAGTTAAAATGCCGATTTCCATTTACGCCGCTTAGTATCATTTATATGTTAAATTTTGATCAGTATGCATTTCAGTTGCATGCTAGAAGTCATATTAGGCCACCTTCACTTGGAATATTTTTGGCTTAATTATGACAATAGAAGGTTTGATTTTGGAACAATATCTAGATCATAGGAAAAAATCCTAAGTTTTACTCAACAACTTAACACGGGGGGGGGGAGGGGAACCTTTTAGTTATTGTTACTATCATTATTTCTAAATTGGTTTCAATTTCTTTCTAAGCAGGTAATGGAGTTTTCGCTTTTATTTATTCTGAGATTGCTGCTCTTAGTTGATTGGTTGTTGTATTTTATATAAAAGTATGGAAATGTAGTAGTAGTTCACTGTTTAATGTGAGTTTTTTCAAAACAGTGAGTTTGTATACAGCTCCATCAAATGATACTTATCAAACTTATTATCAACCACAAAGTCACGCTGAAAACCGAGAGATGGACCTTTTTGTTTTATCTGAGGATTTTGAAAATTTCAACCAGACTATTGAAGTCCTTAAGACTTGGTGATACTTGTTCTTCTATAAAATCGCTTCACTTTATGCTACACGAGCGGTAGCAAAGTTATAATTCTCTTTATGTCCCCCACCGGAACATTTGAAGTTCACAACGCATCTTCGCTCATGTCGATGCAGACCTGGGCTCGTATCTAAAAATGTAGAAATCTTAGATGAAAGAAACACATTAGATGCCAGTAAATGTGTATAGGTTCGACACTTGTGACAATCAATAACCAAAAGCACTATCGATATAGGTCTGACTTCTGTCAACTAATGAAAACCCAGGAAAAACAAACAGTTTCAGAAATTAAGTGGACGATAAACTGTTTATTCAGGGTTATTGCTTGTATTATAATACCGTCGTTGATTGGACCGAATTGATCGGTCTCTATTGGCATATGGATTCTTGCGCTGATGCCTCGATATTACCTGTGTTCTTAATTATATAGTAATGACAATACGAGCAGTAACAGTAAGACTTTACCCGTCGCACAAGAAGTGGCTATCGTGGTTGGTGGTCTGGTGGATAACGCTCTGGCGTTTGAAGCGATCGATCCTGAGTTCGAATCCCGGCGGGGAACAACACTCACGGGGAGGCAGGCACACCCAGCTGACGAGTCTCGTATAGGACGAAACGCGCCTCCTGGATTCTACTGCTAGCTCACTAGCCGTCATTATTATCAAAACGTAAAATACCGACAATATCGAGGTATCCGCGCAGGAGCCTATATACCAACAGAGTTCGATCAATTCGATCCAATCGACGAGGCGATAATACAAGCTATATCATAAATATCTTTCATGTTACAAATGAGACAGGGATTGCTGCAAATATATTGCGTTCAGTATTTCAGCTATATCTGTCAACCGCTAAAAATTCGTTTGTAACCTCATTTATCACTACGTATCATACACTTTTGTTTGCCTCAACCGGGTTCAGTGTCTGGAAATTGTTTTTTTTTCTTATTTACGTGAAAGTTCTTCTTCCTTTATAGAATACTTCACCTGGAATATCAATTTACCTGTCATATTTACTGTATCTTTTTTTGTTCATCTTTAAGAGTATATGGCAATGCAGTTGAACGTTTCAGCTTATTCTCTTTGCTTGAAGAACGTTTAAATTCAACATCTCCTCAGCTGACTTTACTGACATATAATGCATTATTTGAGGTAAGTTGGTGGCACATAAATTACTTATTGTTTATACGCTATATAATTGTTCGAACAATTTGACACAGAATAGCAACGGGAGACTACTTTGGAGTATCATACAACAACTGATACCTGTTGCACGAGAGATGTCTCTCGTGTCCCAGTGGCCACGTTTGAAAGGATGGGCACGCTGGGCTCGAGTGTCAATGGGAACAAGATCACACACTGAGGTGTAGGCAAATTCAACTGCCGAGTTCCAAATATAATGTAACACCCCTTCCTGGATTCCACTGCTAGCTACCAAACAGACTACAAGATAATAAGTAGTCGTGAAGTATCGGCGCATCTTCATAGGAGCCCATCTCCCAAGAGAGAAAGAGCTTGTCATTTACACGTTTATGGTTATTCCATTTGATATGCTAACTGTCAATGACCATACTCATTCTGTTTCATCTATTCGTCTTCGATAACTATAGTAAGAGACTACATGAAACGGATCATTTTAGCCTGTTTCAATTATTTTGCGGTAATTCTAATATAATGTACAGTTTATATTATATACTTGATTAGAAGGAAGTTTTTATCAACAAGATTGTGTTTTTTATCTTTGTTTATAAAAGTTAATATGTTCCAATTGTCAAATTATTGATCATAAGTTAGTGGGTTTACAGTACAGCGCTGCCTTTGTCCTTATATTTAAATGTTTGTATGTTCACTCATAAATAGTTGACACAATTTATTTCTTATGTGTACTATAAGTTTTTCATCTGTTTTATGCATCCTTTTTATTCGACCATTGTAAACGTCATTATACCTATAACATCTTAGCGGTATATTCAGTAATGATTACGTTATACAGCATTGTAGTGTTATGCTCTTCCCCTTTCCTCTCCCCTCCCCCTCTAATAAGTTAGTTGAATCTAATTTTAACAGTAATATTATATTATTTAGACTGAAGTATGTTTGATGGCAGTTGAAAGGAATCACATACTAGCGAATTATCAATTACTATTATCAAGTTAATCATTCGATTGATTCACCTTATTTTAGCATTCGATCCTCACTTAATTTTTAATTTGTTTTTACTTTTCGTTACTACTTATCAACTACAGGTATTGACTGAATCCATCTCTCCAAAATCCGTGTTCATCCATCATTATGAATGACAAGTCAACCTCAATAGTCAAAAATCCTGGTAAGATTTTACCTATTTTCATCCTATGTATCCGGTTATATTGCAATTGATTTCGTACAAATGCATTATTCCTCAAATGGCAAAGGAGATAAAATGATTTCTTATTTTGGTAATAACATATTCTTCTACATAGTTTATGCTAGGTCGACAAAAGCCCAAGTAACTCTTTAATGTACTGTCATCATTGTTTCACATAAATTTATGGCATTATTTACGACTGACACATGTGAAGTGAGTCTACTAATGTGCACTGCGATGATGAGCCTCCTAGCTTGGTGGTCACATTGCAAATATGATCGACAGGGTTCGGTCTGCACTCAGGACTATACAACGTGAAATCGGTTGCTCTCCCGTGATCAATTAATACATGTAACGCACTCCTACAGGAGGTCAATCGCGGTCCGAATAGCTCAGTGGCAAAGTTATTAATTACAACACTGGGTAGATGAGGTTTTGAATCCCAAGTGGGACATCAATTCCGTCGAGGTTGCAGATACGCCTTGCTGATGTGCTGCAACAAGCACGAAACCTAGGCTTAGGGCTTCCTGCCGATTATCTCCAACCAACTAACATAGTCCGAAGTATTTGTTTCACTGTTCCCTCTGTTCTTGAAGTGACTGAATAGTTACTCGACTGAAGATTTCTCCTAACTGATGGGTTACGAATTTAGAAATTGTCATTATATGCCCACAACACTTTGATACACTATAATGGATAATGATTATTGGAATACTGTCTTCACTCTACTGAAAGACATAGAAGGCAGGACTTGGAAACCAAGATTTAATGCTCCAGAAAAAGGTGAAAACTAACTGAAAATATAGCTGTTTATATAGTTATTTAACTCGACAAATAACTGCCAAGTTTAACAAAAGACAAATAAAATGTCAGTGCCTACTATCACCGATGATCTTCCTGAATGTGGTGGACTGGATCATGCAAGAAACTGTGAGGAGCAAGAAGAGGGGCGTACGCTGGACCGGTGAAAAGACCCTAGAAGATTTGGATTTCGCCGATGATTTATGTCTAATGTCGTACAAACGCGAAGATCTACATGCGAAAATTAACAAGTTGAAAAAAGAGGCGAGGCATCAAAAACGGGACTTCAAGTGAATGTAGAGAAGATGGAGGTGATGAAAATACCCAACCAACAACAACAACAAGCGCCAATCACCATGAACGTGAGAAACCTAAAGGAAGTAGTCTCTTTCACCTACCTGGCTAGACAACATCGTTTCAACTACTGACAGCACAGGCATAGATGAGAATGTCAAAGCCAGGATCGGAAAAACAGCAAGACAGGCCTTCATTTATCTCAAGTCAGTGTGGAGATCTACTGCACTGCACTCAGCATAATGAACAAGATCCAGATTTTCAACACTAATATCAGTCAAGTCAGTGCTTCTTTGTGATGGTTGAGGGATTTCTCGCGTTACGAAAAGCTTTTGGAACAAACTACAGACATAAATCACCAACAACTGCCGCCTGCGCTCACTCGATACTGAAGATCAGATGGCCACAATAAATAGAATAAGCAACAAGAAACTTTGGCTGGCAACGAACCAATCAAGAACCTCTCGCCCAACAAATATGCCGAAGAAAAAAAGTGGAGATGGATTGTATTGGATATACACTGAAAAGATTATTCTAGGACATTACGTGCCACGTCAGGCCAGGCCGTCGAGTGAAACCCGAATGGGAAACAACGAGTTGGGCGTCTGAGATGAGGGTGATGTGAAGGAGATAGTGTGAGGAAGAAATAAGAGCTTATGGAGTGTCGCGGAGCCAGGTTAAGAAGACTTCAGAGAACAGAGTGAAATGGCGACGTGCTACTGAAGCCCAATGTTCCACTATGAACCCAAGGAACAAATAATAATAAAAACAAAATGTCAATAATGCAACCTTTGACAAAGGTTAAGGGTGAATATCTAGACGACGTTTTCACAGAAAACATTGGTCAATCAGCTATCTTTCTACCAGTTTTCTTAGTTTCCTACTGATATTTTCTTTTTTAATTTCTTTGCTAGAATAGGCAATAGGAAGCTTTGTCATTTGTTGGCTCTTATCTGCATCGAAAAGTTAGAAGACATGGAGAAATGCATACTCTTTCTTGGACTCTCGTTCTCATATTTCAATCGAAATTCACTCAGTAACCATTTGAGCGATCATGAAGTAGTAGGGAATGACCCATAATAATTGTATGAGAGCTAATGATAGCATATGGCTCTTCAAACTTCGATGGCTAGAGTGGGTTTTGAATCTGTGATCTATAGGTAGCAAGTCAAGTGCCTGAACCAATGAGTTACGGCTCCATATAATCTGATACTACAATTAAAAATTCTCTACTTATTCCCTTTAAACAGACAATACTAAATACATCACAATACTTTATTCATGCATTTAGCTCCGTGTTTGTATTGTTGAACGCAGTCGTTGGGATTACGTCAACACAATACCATCGGCTGTATGGTGTCACTTACACCAATAATATAGGAAATTGTAAAAGTAACTCCAACTTTCGAAGATAATTAGACCACTTGGAATTGTTTCAACTAATGGATGGTTTTTGCTTGCGTACGTGAATGATGATTGGAATTGGGATAAATTGCAGGTTAAATCAATGAATGGAGACACTTCATGATCGTCTTGAAATCGACCAGAGCAACACAGATGCATACACTTTTTGTCATCTTTGAAATTTTATGCAGTTCACCTAACTGTGATTTATTTATTCCTCTCATCTCATACACTTTTGTCCAAGGTAACATCATTCCTCTTCTTAGCATGCTGCTGTGATCCATGTCAACTTGAACTGCTACGCCAGTGTGCAACGTTCTATATTGATTTGTCTGTCTGCTTGATCATGGCATAGTTGGGAGCGGCTATTTCCTAGTTTTACGCCGTGATGGAAGCCTCAGGAAGCTGAGTCGGATTAGGACTTCAGTAAATTTTTCACCGAATCTCAAACGATAATCTATTAGGCTGTAAATCTTTACGTCGAACATGTTATAATCCAGGCCTTATATAGCATTTCAAATCATTTTTGTTTTTAGATTCCACTATATTCAATCATTGAGACAATAGTGGTGTTATCATTTGTTTGAAATAGGTGTTTAACTTGGTGCATACATTACATGACTACTTTGACGATTGTTGGTCGGTATGAAATATTTGTCTTCGCATTAGCTTATATATACTACGCTTTAAGTTTTAAAAAGGAATCTGACATACTGTAACAGTTACTTCCTTTTATAATTTATTTAGGTGAAAATAATCGTTTCTTTATGTCCTTGGATTCATTCTTTGGTAGATTGTAATAAATCCCTAACTTTTAGTGTTTTCCTGTAGACTACTATTCTGAAAGAAGATAACACCTTTGCGATTCGCTGAAAGTCGATATACAACTTAGGCAAATAAATATAAAGTTGTACGAATGTAGTTTTGGTACTTGGTTATCACACAGATCACTAATACGAACTAGTTGTGCCCATTTTTGGGGGACTTGATCAACTGGATGATATCTTCATTTCTAACACAATGGGTATATTTGGTAGAGATAGTCCAGAGAATAATTTGTTATGTGGTGGTTGCTTGTTGTCCTTGTTTTTTTCCTCCCCATGCGAAATCGAATCAAAATTGCACTCAACAGCCTTTCGCACATTTGTACAATAGGCAATCAGTCCCACCTATTGTGTGTGAGGGCTAGTGATACTTACCACCTGGTTGCTCAAGGCTAAGTAGGTGGGGCGGGGTTCGAACTCATGACCCAATGTTTGAAAGTCTTCTCCTAGACCACTGAGTCATAACCACAGCTTTTAAGCGTGTATTGATCAACCATGGTAGTCTAGGTGCAAATATTTAGTAGAAGTAAATAAAAAGATTTTGATTAAATAGTCTAATGTGCATCAATTTAACTGTAATATACTAACGCAAAGTTAATTTCCAGTTATCTTAGGTGTACACAGTGAACACTTACATTGACTCTTCGCCTTGGTTCAATCAATTGCAGTTTGCCTGTAGAAAGCATTGTCAAAGATGTATACTTCCTTAACTTATGCACTATTAAGTTATTTATTTTACATTAACTCTTTTATTTCTCAGCTTTACTTAAAGTGATCGCACAATTGATATCACAGTCAGAACAATCAAATGAAATTCTATGCATTAAAGATACATTCATTCAACATTTATTTGCATTTTGTGCGCAAAATTCATCCAATAAGAAGTAAGTTACTTTTTCGATAATTAAAAAAAAAATGCAATTCAATGTGATTGTTTCAGGAATGGAGTTTGATAGTCACATAACACTAGTAATGACTGTTACTTTTACTGATGTACGCCAAAACATACTTCCTAATAGTAGTTATACAAATGATGACCTTCAAATGGTTTAGTCGAAAGTTTATCGCCTTATGTTATGATACAACTCATCATGAATAGAACTTATTGTCTCAATATTGATGTTCCTACCTGACTGTATAAACTAAATTGAATTTAGTGAAGTGGATACGATTGCATGACATAACAATTTGTGGTCGAGACATTGACACCTAACTCTACAATGTAAATAAATACAATACACAGTGGATTCACACAGTCAACAATCGATATAGAATGTAACACAAAACTATACAGCTAAACCTTGATCATTTTTGCAAATTTTTTTTATTCTGAAGACTAAATAATGCTGAAACTGTAAACAAATCCATTTACCTAAGCAGACACCGTACGTTTTGTTAATATAAAAGTAAATAATACTGAAAATTATTAGTGATTTAGAAATTTACCGTGTTCTTGAACAGAATTGAAGGATATAGAATTCTCATAGTTAGTTAAATAGTATTTTGAGGGATGAACATGATACTCCAAAACTGATTAGTTATTCATTTAAAGTTATGTCCATTTAACGACTATTTCATACCATACTATACCATTTTTTTAAACTTAGTTTTTAACTCTTTATCTAATTGTTACGATGCAAAGTTGTGAGAACAAACGATAGTAATTAACGATTGAGAGTCCAGGGTTGACATAGTTCAACCCAGGTGATTTGCAGAGGAAAATCAGAAGACTGTTGGTAATCAATTAAGTTTTTACTATCTTGAACTGAAAACGTTTATTCGTAAAAACGAACCGTACCTAAAGAGTTACGGCGACCTTGAAAGACAAGGAATAATTAGTACATTTAAAGAGGCAGGAGCCAATCAGAACGCTGCCTGATTATGTGAAATATGACTCATGTGTGGGGAAACGAGCGCGAAGAGAAACAGTTCAAAGTACACAATGTTAAGTATGGAATATACGGGAAATTCCATCTCTAAAACTAATATATCACATAATTAATGATTGTCTGATGGATCAACTGAGTCGATTTTGTGGCGAATAACCTGTTTCTTTTTTTTTTTGCGTACAGTCTCGTGTGACTTACTAATTTAGGTCTTATCTCCCATATTCTGATGAAACAGCTTCTTTCGTGTTTCCTTCGTCAATAAGATTTGATCAGTAATGTTGGTTACAACCCTGTGACCAGTTAGTATTTATTGTCTTTATGTATAAATATATTTTAAGAATCGGTTGACAGTGTAATAATTCCTTTCATTATCTATGAATATTTCCTAGACCAAACTGGCACTAACTTTTCAAAAGTAGTGTTATTTCAGGGCTGTATTCATCCGTAGGTTGACATCAGTTAGAATACCACGTCACTCTTCAGCAGTGTTCACCTATGACCCGTAAGAGATCGAGCGTATGACCATCAGGTCTTGTGGAGATCACGTTGCCACTCAACTACCGGGTTGGAATCCATTGGTCCACTCCTACTTTAATGTTAGGATCGAAGTGATGGGATATGTCGACAACTTCACTTACTTGGAGAGTTGGATCAGCCTGGACAGGCTGGTTGCTGACGAAATCTCAGCTTGGATACAGGAAGCCCGTTTGGCATTTGCCAACCTGCGTCATCTATGGGGCCTACTGGCGAGATATGCGATTATCTATCAAAGGACGAGTATACTGCGCTGTGGTCCGATCTGTCCTTTTGTACGGCTGTTAGACATGGCTGTTACAAGTAGCAAACATGATAGGGTTACAGGGTTTTGATCGTAGGTATCTTCGTAGCATTGCTCGTGTTTGGTGGAATCACTGTGTCAGCAGTGTTGAAAACAGACCGGCAAGTCGATTGATGAGGTTGTTAACCTTAGTCGAGTGAGATATGTTGGACACGTACTGCGGACGCCGAACCACTCCCTACCCCGACATCCCATACTAGGGGAGGTTGCATTAGGTTTGAAGAGGGTTGAGGGTAGCCAGATGAAGACGTGGCACCAGTCGATGAAGTCTCTTACTGTTGGTCTGAATCGTGTGTCTACTCTGATGCCAGTCTTTTTCTATCCACTTGTTCTTTGTGCCCTACTGTGAAGTGTGGAAACTTCAGCTGACTCACCCGTATGCGAGGTTCTTGGTTTATTTTATCAGTCAGTCAGGCATTTACCTACTTCCGTTGGTTTGTGACATTATAAATCATGCCATTTTATTGAATTTCTTGCACTGATCTTAGTCCTACGTTTACTTATTTATTAAATATACTTGCCAATGATCTACTGGGCGACACTATCGATGGAGTTACATGAGATTTGAAGTTCTACCTCGATATATGATGTCCTAGTGGAGAACTACTTCTGCGTTGTGATAGTCTTTCTTCTCAACCTAAGAGAATCAAATATAAGTCTGATGTTAATCCCCTGAAGTATTTGGTTAAGTCAGAAATTGATCATTTAAAGCTAATGTATAACTAGAAGCTTTTCTCATATAGCGACTTCGCCAAAATCTGAGAACTTTTAAAGATCTTACTAGTAGTAAACACCGCAGAGTGAAGAAACATATGGTAACTTCTGTAACCCATTCAATTGTTTATGTATCAACCCATCAGTAGCATTTCATCTTGTCTTTCTAGTTCATGTAAAGGTTATTCTTATACAAAATCAATTCTTCAGTTTTATATAAAAGTTGTTTTCCTAAATTCATGTGAAAAGATGTGTTCAAGTGTATCAAATCAATTGACTCACATAGCTTTAACCGGACGGCATCCCACGTTTTCTTATTCAGGAAGTGTGCCAATATATTTCACCATCAACTAACAAACATTTCTAGTGAAGCCTTTTCAAATACTTTCGTTCCTACCCCTTGAAAAGTTATGAAAATATACCTAGTACCAAAGTCCGTGTATTCTAGAATGTCTTTTGAGATTCCAATCGATCGCAGTTACCTCTCCAGTTTAGAATCTAGTGCTGCTTGTGCTGGAAACTTTCTTCGAAGGCTTTTAGAAGAAACACTTTGGTTATCACTACTGCTTCACATGAAAATATTGTCGAAAGCCTCGATGACGAAGCCAATTATCTCAAATGTATATTTTTACACTAAACTTCAGCTTTTGATCCTCCTATAAGAGCCCTTTTATTAAATAAACTTGCCAAGATACATCCCGAGGTTTGAATTAAAAACTGGTTGTATTCTTATTTCTTTCAGAGGAGGTAGTCAACTTAATACAGTGGAAATGTAAATCTTTGTCGTATGATCTCAAATTTCAAGCGATATGTTCGGGATTTGAACCCCGCTCTGTTTTCTTCGACCTCGGCAACCAGAAAGTGTCATAAGTCCTTGCATAACAAGTGTTGCTCACAGCCTTGTATCTAAACATATATCGGGTTTAGTTAGTGTTCACAGTATACTACTTTACATAGAGGGAGATACTCTAGTTCATTGCTTACTACAGCTTGTGTTCTCAGTGTTGTTCTTTTTCCATTTCTGTTCTTTTCTTTTGTATAAAACTTGCCTTCTTCAGCTACTGGACCTCACAGTTCCTACACCTATCTTCTTTTCATTAAATTATTACCGACTTATTGATTCTTTACCCAACATTGAACGGTGGTTCTTCTTGAATCGTCTTATGCCTTATTCTGAAAAAAACCAGCGTATTATTTTTAGCTTCAGGTTTAAATATGACTTGTGCAAACTGCTTCAATCTCAGGACTCTCTTTCTTTTGAGGGCTCTGTATTGGAGAAAATGTCAATTGTTATATATCTTGGTTTGTCTTTCTTCTGACTTTCTTGCTCCTCCCATATCTTAATAATCTCAAAATATGTCTTAGGCTTAGCCGACTATATTCGGAAGCTGTAAGGTTCCGGTGTAAGTGAACCCCTTTGATTCGCGTTTTATTAATTCCAGTATTCTACGTATTCTTTATTGTTCCTCCCTATTCTTCTCTGGTTTATTGAGAAAGTATTATACTGTATTCCATGGGACTATAAAGACTGCAACATAACCTGTTGTGTACCTCTGACTCCTCTTATAGGCACTATTGTGGACAGACAGACATCTTAATTCATGTAAACAACTTGTGGGCAAGTACCGGTACTAGTATATCCGACTGATGAATCCCAAGTTGGAAGAAATGCGCGTCATGGATTCCACTACCAAGTAACTGATTGAATATTCAGAGATTTTCAAGACATCCGCATAGGAGCCTATACGCCAACAGAGGTCAATCATTTCGATCCAGTATAACAACAGGAAGTTAGAAGTACCAAGAAGCGACCCTTGTGCCTCAGTGGCCTAGTGAATAACACCTTGATGTCTAAAGCAATGAGCTTTGGATCCTAGTCTTAGTAGAAATACCGTCACTCGTTTGGATGCAGGTACATCTAGCTGACGAGTGCTGAGTAGGACGAAACGCTCATCCTGGAACCCACTGCTAGCCACCAACAAGTAAATGATAACTGTCAAGATTTAATCTATCAGATGATAAGCATCCTTTTCATTCACAGCTTTGAACTTGTCAGTTTTCAGCCTAGACCAAGACTTTTTGCATTCATGACATAGTACAAAAGCACTACCATACCTTATTTAGCTGGTATCCTGTATGAATAAGTGTTAAAAATGATCTTAGTAATCATCTTTGTAATCGACTATGAATTAGGGAATTAATATTGTCTGCGTTCATCTATGTATTGAAAATATTATTGTGAGTATTCATTACAATTACTTCATTCTTCCAAAAACCCATACATGGCTTGAGTTATTTTTGCTTGCTTTCAGTGTTTGAAAAAGTAGTCTTTGTAGTACTTCAGTAAGTGTAGGTCCTTCATTGTGACTGAAGAAATGACCTGATCACCTTTTGGGTTCGTGTTTTTCCGGTCACTATGTGTTACTTCCGATATACTGAAATCCTCTGAAATAACGTAAATGGATCTTGTTTAAGCTCTCAATATTAGGAGATATTTGTAACGATTTTGAAGAAGTTAACAAGCCAATCAATAAAATCTTGTACTGAGTGGGAAGTGCGTGTTACTTATCTTTTACGTCTCTTCTATGGTCTTTGGAATCATGTCAATTCGTGGTGAAGTTAAACTTTTATGTAATAAATTAAAATTATTGAAATCGTATAATACATTTTATTAACTTCTTCAATACAACTATAGAACAATATTACAGTTATCTATCTGGCAAGATTGGTTACTTCGTTTAGTTCCCTTGTATCCGAATAATAAAGTGAATGCTAAATTTCTAGTGAAAATTCTACGCTTAATACGTATTCTCTTGGTATATGGAATATGCTACGAATATGGTAGTTGGCAGGTGTTTATCGATACTTTAGCGTTAATCCATTTGCATATTTGTGAAGAAAGATTTACTTATCTTAAAGATAAGCAGCAGCAGGTGAGTATTTTTGTTAAAATTTCTGTGATATTTCTCATCTCTGACTTGTGGAGAATATTTGTAGCTCAGGTAGATGGTCTTGGTTGTATTGTGTTCTCTAAGCTGGGTTGTTTAATCGTGAAGCTTCATCATCTTTCTAAACGACATCATCAGCACTAACTTCAGTATGAAGTGAGCTGTTAATATCTCTTCGTGAGTGATTTAGTAGCTTGCCTTGACGAAGCGGTCTATGATTGGTGACTAACATGGCAACATGGTGGATACCAATAGTACAAATCACATACTGAAAGTGTGTAGTAGTAATGAAGGATTTTAAAACTGATTGTGTCAAATGTTGATATCGTTTTGGGTATATAAATTTGTTCCTTTGAATGTTTGTGTGTGTAGAACTAAGCTGTAATTAAGAAATCCATTCAAGCATGCAATTGCCACTTTTGTTTTAATTATCATAATCGATTATCGGAGCTTATTTAGTTGTCTTAAAACATAGTTCAACTCATAGATTATGACAATTATGACACATATGACCTCTATTAATTTTTAATAACGGATATCAGAAATACAATACACATTAATATGTGTGAAAATTGGGCACTGTGGTAGAATGTAATTCTATATTAGATTTGTTTATTTGATATATAGCGCACAGTGATACAGTATTACTTACTTGTAAGTAAGTAAATAATACTGTATCACTGTGCGCTATTTATCAAATAAACAAATCTAATATGGAATACAACACACACACATATACAGGCTCGCATTCGGGCATCGTGTCACTGCTCAACGGTGTGAATGATGAAAAATAATCCATAATCCATCATGTAAATTAGAACAAGACATATAAGCGAACAATATTGTTTTTAATTAGATCTCCTTCAGGCTTTACTCTAATACAAATAACTTAATATATATAAGAAATTAAACCAACCATGTAGATTTGTCGGTTGATGTGATAAATGTTTTAAAATAACGATAGTGATAGTAATAATAATAATTATTATGATTTGACTATCTAAAATAGCTGTGGTTTGGCAGACTAGTCTTAGTACTAGGTGATGATTGAAGGCGAAATGAAAGCAGCTTGAACACGTATACATTCTGATAGAGTGGGTCAAAAGCTTGGGAAAATAAAAGTTACATAACACTGAAGGACGAGGTAAGTGGATAAACAAAGTCTAAACAAATACAGTAAGTCTATGAAAGGGGCGTGAAAAAATCTCAATGCTAAAGTTATTAACTAAGTATTCCATGGCCAAGGGAGAGATAAGGGATGTACAAATTTCTGGATACAAAAGCCAAGATTATTACCTCGAATTCCCACAGCTTCTGCTATGTGTAAAAGACGAGTTCGAATACCTTTCGAAAGATGAGATGGTATGCGGTGAATAATCGCGAAAGCATTGTTCTTTTCTATCAAGTGACTCCTATCAACGAGGTGAGATAAAACCGAGCTTCTGATAGGTTTTATCTGCCCCTTTCCCAACCATGAAGGTGGATGCTCAGCGACATGTTTGTTGTCTAGTAGTACGACCTATATAGCTTCCTCCACATGAGCAGCTAAACTTGTAAATACACATAGAAATATCAAAACTAGATAACCTATCTCTTGTCTGAGCAAAAACAATTGGTCGACTGGAAAATGACAGACAGAGTTGTGTGGCGTAGAAGGTCCTCTTAATGGTTCTAGAGAGTCTCTGATATATGAATTCTCCGACTACATCCCCATTAAATTGCATATTTATGATCAACCGTTTCTCTTGTACGGCAATAATTTCAGGTTTGTTTCCCTTGGCTTTCTCCATGAGTCTTTTTATGAATATATTCTAACTCATTCTGTACTAGATTATCCGAACATGTTCTTCTCGCTGTTGGTGAGGCATTCAACCAGGTTTGCTTTGTACCGAATTGGTACATGACTTAGAAAATGTGTGTACTGACTCATATAAACACATCTGCTGAGTGAACCACCTTCTCTTCTGCTTAGCAAGACATCCAAAAAGTGTAGTCTACTCACATTTTCTTCTTCACAAGTGAAAGTGAGCAAAGGGTGCACCACAGTAAATTTTCTTAACACCTTGTTTCTATCCACATTCTGATCTAGAATAATGAATGTATCGTTAGTATAACGGTGATACATACTAATCTCATTAATAACATCTTTCAAGACTCCATTCTGTAGTTTGGCAAGAGGATATATCAGCTGAAATAGGACCAAGTGGTGAACTTATAGCTATCAAATCAATCTGTCCGTAATATGTGCTATCGATGACAAAATGTACATTCGTGATACATTTAAGAAGCAGCTCTTTGAGGATGTGTACAGGAATCCCGATGCTGATTTACCTTTCCGACATTTGTTGACACACAAACTCTAACGTCGCCAATAATCCCACATTAGGGAATAGTGATGAAATATCTTCAGACAAATTTATGTATTAATTGTTGTTAAGTATATAACAACTAATCAATGTTACGAGGAAACCAGAGAGTTTTTTGACTTTATACGACTCTAGGGTGCGTTTATTCACGTGAATCTTACACAAGTTTTCCTGATTCACTTACCAATATTAAAAATTCTTAAAGCCAGATGAGTGTTCTATTGTTTTGTGAGTTAAATCAGTGATTGATTGACAAGTATTGATATTGATTACGACTAAATGTACATACTAATTAAACATTTAAATATGGTTGTGTACAGTTTCTGAAAACGGTATCGCCTATAACAAAATTATTCAATGAGGCCTTTGCTTTGGAAACTTGGGAGCACTGGACAGCTGTTTCGTCCTAGTATGTAACTCCTCAGCAGTGTGCATCCATGACCTGACATCGACAGGGATCGAACTCAGGACCTTCAGGTTCCATGACCAGCATGTTAATATTAAGCCACTGGGTTGGAATCCAGTGGTTCATATTTCCCACTACTCTCCATCCAATCCCGTCGTTGTTGAGTCAAGGTCTTCATGTCCGACTTGGTTGGCCTCACTGGTCACGACTTCTCGTTGGAACTTCGAGAATCACCTCTCGAAGCTAATCACCAATGAGGAGTAGACTAATTTGATTTTGAGGTTTGTGGAGATTCAACTACTGATTTCAGGTAGGTATTGATCTTGATGAATACTTGCTGGCCGCTGAACCTGCAGGTTGTGGGTTCGATCTACGACGCAGTCATGGTTGCGCATCGACTAGGAGTCGCATACGAGGACAAAACAGCTATCCAGTTCTCCCAGGTTTCCAATAGTCCTCCAACTAATGAATATCAATCTGAAATTAACCACTAGTTAGAAAGCGCTTTGTTAAACTTGAAACAGTTGGCCTCATTTATCATGAATTTCGATAAAATAACTAGAAGACACGTGGTTTGTCTGTAACGTGTAATGTATTCACACAACACATTTCAAAAAATTTAGTTACACACCTACTTCTCATGCATACTTACGTGAATTATAACAAAGGATGGATGAGCTTGAGAAACAATTGATGTAATGCAGCATCGAATGGTTGGTTTAGACGGGAAGAGGAAGACAGTATAATATTTATAATATGTAATATGTTAAAAAATGTCTAAACTTCCTTACAGACAGATCTTTAAAAGAATCCAAGAATGCATCCATTCGGATTTATAACTGGGTTTGAAAGATACATACTAACCAACCTTATGATCCATTCCCATGACATGTTTAGCTACGGACGAGGTTGAAATCTACTGCCTGTATCAGTGGGATCATTAGATTTGATCGGTTTTCCTGGTCATTCTGGATTTCGTCCTATGATCCTTACTTCCGTACATAGATAGGTCTGTAGTGCATCTTCCTGGCATCAAAATCCAACTGGTGACCATATGATCCATGGTCAAGGATTTGTTCTGAGTATGCAGGATCGTAAATTAATCATAAATTTCTTGCAGTTGTTGATGTCGATTCTAAATGACCCAAAACATTCATCATGGACAAAACTACTTACATAATAACCATACACAAGCTATCGGAATTATTTAGTCATTTTAGTGTACCAGAAACAATCGTTTCTGATGACGGTGTATTTCACCTTTCTGATACCAAAATGCAACTAGGGCTAAAATAAATAGGTTAAATTGAATTGACTAAATAAACATCTAGCCCGCCTCCGGATGTTTAAGGTGTTTTAAGTTTTGTTTTAACAAGCATGCATCCGAGCAGGCTTCAACGCCATTTCCCACTCCTTTGTGCGGTTAATACTCATATCCTCAAACCCCCTAACTCAACCGTACTGGTCAGATAAGTAGAATAAACTTTTCCCCTATAATCACTATCACATTTGTTCTATTTAAGTATATTGCTCCTTCGAATATATTCCTGAATACCACTCCTTTTGATTTGTGTTTCGTTATCAGTACTTACACGTTATGTGAGGTACTGATTAAGCAGGTACTAGAACACAGACAGTACCCGTGCAGTGGTTTTCACTTCACGTCACATGAATTTGCAGTTATTCGCAAAACGAATGTTGTAAATCATGTTCGTACACCACCACTTTACCCCCAATCTAATGGTGAAGCCGGTGTTGTGAAAATGTTCAAATGACTTGCTGAATCTGCAAGAGGAGGAAGATTTTAGAGTATTACTTCACAAACACTTGTTGGCAAACGAATCAAAATCAAGCCCATCAGTACCTAGTCACATCACCTACTGAAGCTTTTGTTGACTTTTAACCCTGATTATCATTAGACTCTGATTGTCAAAGAGAATGAAGGAAGCTGAAACAAAGTTATGGGGTCTCAATTAAATAGGAAACACAGGATGAAGCGCGTGTCATTTAAACCAGGTGATGTCGTCTACGTTAAATCTTTCATAAATGGTATGTCGAATTGGAAGACCGGAGTGATGATAAAGACCAGAGACAAAATAGTGTATGAAACTGGGGTGGAAAACTACATGCTAGTCAGACACATTAAACACCTGCGTACTAAATCCACACAAGCTACATAAAGTATTGAGTAGGTGAGCCCTCTTAGAATCGAT